GGGCATCACAGATTTCCTGACCATGGCATATTTTCATTTATAGCATTTTCAATAATTCATTGTTCAGACCCCGAACAGTGCTCGGAATCATAATTTACCTCCCATTTATACCTGATGAGCCCTGTTTTTCAACATGCGTGGTACGCACCTTGACAACAGGGTCTACTAGATATTTTAAGCTGTTAATCCTAAAAAGTGGACAGATTATGGAACCTTTATAATGATACCACACAGAATGTTCTCAGGCGATTCATGACCATTACCATTGACTGTATGTAGGTATAAATTTAAGCTATACATATACAAGAGGTGTTTCACGGTGGATGGAACATTATAGACGTGTGTGGGGAACCGAACGAAATATCATTTCGAAAATTTATGGGCGTGGATAATCAAGCATGCTCTATCCGTCTAAAATATTTTCCACAATGCGGTGTTGCCACATTCTATTAGAAAGTAGTAACAACTTTATTATTTCAAATGGAACATCCTATATTTCATTGCATTTTTAGATTCTTCCTGAAGAGCTGATTTTTCAATTTTAGGATTTTTTTGTGTCGAAACTATTCATTATTGCTCTTCAGGAAGAATCTAAAAATGCAATGAAATACAGGATGTTCCGTTTGAAATAAGAATGATGCTACTACTTTCTAATAGAAGTGGCAACATCGCATTGTGGAAAATATTTTGGACGGATAGAGTATGCTTGATTATAACAATTCGCAATTAGGAACACCTGAATAGACACAGAAATAATAAGAACTTACTTGTATGAAGGCCGTATAAAGCAGGAAACTGGGGCATAATTCAACTATAAAATACTAGTAATTATCATGAAAGTCCACCAAAATGAATGAATGAAATAAACATAACCTATATTATGATTCGAATTCTGACAGATGAATTCAGATCTTCTTCTTCTTCTCATTTCACTCTTCTCAAAATTTCTCGCTACAATGGACATCCCGACAATACACTTATGGATGTCCAATATGTACTGCCAAGTATCCGGTATGGACATCCAAGTGGCTATTCGATGTGCGTCCATGGACATAGATAGGCTTCCAGATGGAGTACATACTAGATCATCAGCTGGATATACAACAATGTACATCAAAAGATAGTTCCATTTGGCGTCCATGGATGTCTTGGACGGCAAATGGATATAAAATGGATGTCGTCTGGATAACGTGTGTTATTAGGGTTCTCCAGATACGTCTAATATTCGGTCCACCGTGTAACACCTTGAAGAATATATCTACCCACCTGAATTTCATTTCGATATATATACAGGGTGTTTCACTATGAGGAACCATGATGATTGATATGGGAATGTTACATCTACGCGGTATCGAGTAATCTTAGAGATTCAGCTCGATTGTCCTGGGGTGTTACATTTGAATAATAGGTATATGTCAAATGTACAGTGTGTCCAGTTTTCGATGCTTTCGCCACTTTTGCGCGATATCCCGCAACACTATCTCCAAAGCATATAGAAAACTGTACTTCCATTAATAGAAGCCCAACCAAAACTAAACAAGGTTGCTAATTCGTGGGCATGGGTTTGAGAATTCTATGCAGTATGATTTTCCATAAGTAATACATTTCACTATGTGAATTAGGTCTGTTACTCTTTCATTCAATGAACTTCTGAGTAGTTTAAGAGAGTTGATTATACATATAGCTCCTTTGTTTACTCGCAATACATATCTAACATGTTTTGCTGAAAATATTCCATTTACAGGTATCAAAACCATTGCGAGTATAAAAATTGAATTCAGATGTTTCAGAAACAGTATAATGACTCGAGTTTGAGACAAAAGTGCACGAGGTAACCAACTGTTGTCTCTTATATATATATTCTATGTACACTTTGGAACAACTCAATCCGTTTTCATTGTGTGGAAATTTGATATATTATATATGTTCGACATGAAACAATCTCTTGCTGGAACTGCACCTACTAATTCTCAGTTATCCTATAATTTAACCATCCGGTGAATCGAGATACAAAATTACAAATGAAGGCATGTTGAAACACTTGAAAGATTCCGAAAGTTGAGAATTCTTTAATACTGTCGAAATTAAAATAGGGATTACTCTTGATTGAATATGCGTCACTGACCAACATTGATCTTTCTCAGAAATCGAGGCGGCAGAAGCTTGCAAATGGCTTCGAGCTACAGGATTCCCCCAGTACGCTCAGTTATACGAGGGTGAGTTAGTCACTCAATTAGATGAGTTATATAGGGAGGAAGGAATGAAGGTAGGTTGATAAAACGATGATGGTTTCAGATAACCAGTTTCCGATCGACATAACCACCGCAGCACAAGACCATCCCCTTCTGGAGACCGATGTGTTGCATTCGCTCTTCAGGCGGCTTCAGATTCTCAACAGCTGTGCTCACTTGCATCAACAAAGGGCACACACCGACGAATCTGAAGACGAAAGTTGTGCCCTTTCTGATAAATGGACTTATCAAACTGACATCAGAAGATGGTCGAGAACTACTGATCGAATCTCATTTCGTAAGTATATACCTTCCATCTACCAAATTAAAATAATTTTCGCAATAATTCTGAATACAATTCAAAACACTTGTTTTTGAAGTGATAACTTTAGGCCAGTTAGATACTTTCTGGGATGAGAGTAAAACGGCCGGACTAGCGTCACGGATGCGCGCGTACCAGTGTATTTATGTATATATGTCTGGTTGATATGCGACGGCCGCTGCACCTGATTAGCGTCTGGAGGCAGGAGGTCAGAAATAACCAAGGTAGTGGGAGAACAGCGGCAAGCGCGGGCAAAGATCACCTGTGCTCATCACATAGCGACAGCGTACAGCCATTGCGTGATGAGATCTATTCTTCTAAAATGTTTACAATTAGCTTCACTTCCGCTTGAACCGAAAGTGACATCAACTTTGTTTTATCAGCATTTTTAGATTCTCCCTAAACAGCTGATTTCATCGATACATCACACTTGGGGTCTAGCGGACATGACATTACAGATGAATAGGGTGTTCAAAATCGGGATTTTTCAACTTTTGGATTTTTTGGTGTCGAAACTATTCATGATTGGTCAAAACGGCTTACATGCTCCTTTCTCAACTTCTGAATAAATATCTACTGGAACAAATACAGGGTGCTCAAGATTCTTGCATGTACCAGTAATAACATCGTTAGCCACTTTAATGGAAGCAGGACAATTTGAATTGATTTTGTTGTCCTGTATTTTAACTTGCCTCTTTCCAGTGCTCTTCGAGTGAAAATATGCAGAGCGATGACAATAACAATAGTGTATCTCTGATCTGGACGACCTTTTCGTTCCGGAATTCTTGACGAAATGAGTTCGATCTTTCAGTTCTATGTCGTTTTTCCATTAGATAAATTGTTCATAAGATGGTATTTCAAGATTTTCCTCAACCAACGTCAATGCGAATTCTCTAAATGATTCTCGAATTGATCACTCAAAATGTTTCCACTGCACAGTGGACAATCAGATGATGATTTCACCGAACTATTCGCAGGTAAATTGAAACATTTTTTGTTAACTCTAAAATGTTTCTAATTGTTGAACTTGCATCCGCATCTTTCACAGGAAAATTTATACACTTTCCCACTTTTTTTAGATGGGGCTATCTTATTTGGATGAGACTTCAAACGATGCCTTCTGAGATGTTGAAAAGAGCTGAACGTTTTTGAACATTCTGCACAACAGTTTGATTCCATTTTTATATGTGTGCAATGCAACGCAGACCAAACAATAACTAAGTATAAATGAGTAGATATTCTGAAAACAGTTGAATGTCAACCGACTATACACTCCTTCCCTTGATACATAATTCGGCGCCAATTGAGGGTATTGTCTATTTACCTACCAATAATAATATTATAATATTGTTTCGCTCCTTCGCTCCTACGTTCTTCCCGCACGTCGCTAGCTGCTAGCTGATCTGTGCCCGCCATAAACAAACTACAATATCGCGCTTGGCGGGGTTCTCCCACTACGTTGGTCATTTACGTTCTCCTTTCTCCAGACGCTAGTGCTGCACCTGCACCTTCCGTATTCCAGTGAACACCGAGGCAGAGACAGTATAGTCGTCAGCTATGACCTGACATGCATAATTCACAGATAGTCTAATCATATTGTGTTCTCGCTTGAACTACAAAAAATCCTATGCATCATTCATAATACACAAGGTGAGTAATACAATTTCTCCATCAATATATATATATAAAGAAATACATTGAGAATTCGCGTTCTCTATGTGATGAAAATATCAATTCTTTTTCGGTCTATTCAACAGAAAACAACTACTTTCCTGGCAATATGCCACGACGAACATTGAATTACATCTATTGAACATCCAAAAAGAGAGCATGAAAAATAAAAATCCTCTGAAATTGAGAATTGACATCATCTCTCAAATCAGATAAAATAATATGATGTACTATGATATACAAATATAACTTACCAATATGTTAAGTATTGAAATGAAAATTGAAATGTATATGAGAAGTATACTTGTATAAACTCAGATCTTGATGAGCTTGGAACTTCAACAAAAAAAAATCACTCGTATCAGTGATATGGGAATTATATCTCTCACTAACAAGTTATATGATATTTCACTCGAATAAATTCATTTCGGATATCAAATCCTCATCAGGAACTTGAAGTCCAGTTATTATTCTTTCAGCCATTCTTCATGATATACACAATTCACATCTCCCTATAATATAACTAAAACTATAACGAACTGACATCTGAGAATTATGATTTGTTGACATACTCCTGTCATCCTTTTCGCGAATGCGTAGAAATATTACATGAAATTAATATTACTTCATTCAGACTTCCCCCGTATTGCCGAAAGATATTGGAAATACTGATCGGCCCTAGAAGTTATCACTTCTGACGCACATAATTTTTTTTCATTATCAATCATGAAAGACCTCGAAAAATCGTACCTTCATCGAATAATAATTGCTTATAGGCCCTGCTGGCGCGATTGCTGCTACACAAGAAGGTCCCTCGACAAATGCAGACATCCACGACAAATCAACCGATCCTCCAAAGGATCGTCTGCGCAGAGCAGGGACCACGAAATTTCGACGGCGCAGAGATGGCGTTTTTTTTAGCGAGAAGGAAAACATATTGGATACTCTTTCTCAAAGACTGAACGATTTGAAATCGGATGGGAATCACGCTTCAGACTCTGAAATTGCGCCAAGACAATCGCGGAGATCTAGGACAAAATCATTTGATAAAAACGAAGCTTGGGTTCATCAGCAAGACACAACTGAAAGGTTAATATTTCTTTATATTTTTCAATAATATTTTTCTGAATCTCATGTTGATGTATACCGGGTGTCCCAGAGCTTTTGGGCTTGCAGATATCTAGGTTATCTAACACATAAAGTATGGAAAAAATTATGGAATATAATATGTGATCAGAAGCTCGCAAAAAAAAATTAGATCGATTCACCCTTATGGCAAACAGTCTACTATAGAAACCACTCCAACTCTGGTTTTTCAAATTGGACCCCCCTATTTTTTTCAATTCATTTCATAGAACGTTCCGTTCCCAATTCAGTGATATGTCGGACTAGATAATTTGCACAAAATTTGTACTCTGACTGACTGTTTTATCAAATCTCTGCTACACTTACCTAATATAATGCCTATTCAGACCTCGTGTATAGTTTATAGGAAGTTATAACTTTCTCAAGAAATATCCGGGCGTAACGTATAACAACACTGAAAGAACATTCACTCCTTCATAATTTTGACTAATAGTCGAATTGAAAATGGGAAGTCCAGTAAGATGGACCGAAAATAAAAACATGGGGGTGCAATTTGAAAAAAGTTCGAGGTGATTTTTAGTGGGTTGTTTGACACAAGGGTGGTTCGATTTTATTATTTTGAAGAGCTTCTGCTTCCATGAATTCCACAATTTTTTTATATTTTGCCTGTGTGAGATAACGCAAATATCTTTTTCATCACAAGGCATGTAGGAAATGAAATGAGGGGTCATGGATTTGTGGTATCATAATTATTATCGAGTAGATATTTTAAAAACGCCACGTGTATGCAATTTCCACCATCATTCGAGATTATATTCATCTAGTTACTCGCAAGTGGAAGTGTATATCTTTCACTGCAAAATAAAAAACTTTGTTGTTTTTCTTCGACTGATTTTGATTCTTGTTTTTCGATTTTGAAGAGTGATATGGCATAAACTACCAGAACAAACATTTCTGGTCCCAGAAGAAAAAGAAACCACCTTCGACAATAATGGCCCGCAAATTTCGTCTTTATCATCAACTCAACGTCAAGTTCTTAGGAAGCTAGCTCTGCTCAAACTGACAGCACATATGGAAAAATATTGCCCCACGCATCGGACTGGCTGGAATTGGGATTTACCGAAATTTATAAGAAAAATCAAATGTCCCGTTTATAAAGGTTAGTAATCACTAATCAATTTCAAAATTCTTAAGTCCATCAATTCCACATTGTTTCAGACAAGAATATTTTTGGGGTACCTCTCACAATTACGTTCCAAAGGACCGGACGTGTTTTACCAAGACAGATCGAAGAAGCAATGCGTTGGCTACAAGAAAATTCTACCGATGATGTTGGAATTTTCAGAAAACCTGGAGTGAGGTCTCGAATTCAACACTTGCATGATAAAGTAGAATCGAACATCGGAATAGATTACAGCGATCAGCAGTGTTATGATGTAGCCGATATGGTGAAACAGTATTATCGAGAGTTACCGGAAGTCCTGTTGACTACCAAACTTTCCGAAACTTTTATATTGATCTTTCAATGTAGGTATAATTTCATCCCGATTATTATGAACGATTCAGTCCCCATTGTTCTAGATGTGCCTGTTAACTTACGCCGAGAATCAGTTCTGTGTGCAATTTTGCTGCTCCCAGACGAACATATGGAAGTCCTACAATCCCTATTGCATTTTTTATTAGTCATTGCGAAAAATTCACAAGTGAATCAGATGAACGAAAACAATCTGGCGATGTGCTTTGCACCTACATTGTTCCACTATTCGCCAGGACTCAAACAGAATTTGGGCTCGCCGCATCCCAAAGAGCTTGCGGAAAATAAAGCTGGTCATTCGTGCTTGTTGTTTTTCCTCAACAATTACCATAACTTGTTCAGGGTGAGTTTCGCCATGCCCGTCTATAAGATATTGTTCACATAATCAATTTGGGTATCTAGCAGCAACATCACCTAACCATCGTGTATTCAAATTAATTTTCATTTTTTAGATACCACAAGATTTCATCAATCAATGCAATCCGAGCGAGATACGGGAAACTAAAGCAAAATTCTTATCAGAGTTGGGCATGGAAATGGGTGGTTGGAGGGAATATCTGAACGAATGTGAAAGTAACTTGCTGAGAGAAGTGAAAGAAAGAGGGCGAGGCTGGATTCCGATCAGTTCACACAATCCCAAAGTGGACATTTCCTACAGAAAAGTGGCTGATGGGCTACCTTTGAAATTGTGGAGAACTTCGACTGATGTGGAAGCTCCTCCATCGGAAGTAGTTCGTCGGATTCTGAGAGAAAGGCACATTTGGGATAACGACTTGCAATCGGCGAAGATAATTGCTCAGTTGGACCATAGAACAGAGGTATTCCAATTCGTTCGAAGGAACATAGATCCATTGCCAAATGAAGAGTATTGCGTACTACGGACATGGAGGACGGATTTGCCAAAAGACACCTGTATCATAGTAGAAACCTCGGTTGAGTATTCCGATGCTCTCCCTGTACCCAACACTTCGAGGGCCGTCATTTTGGCATCTAGATATCTGATTGAACCCTGCGGATCCGGAAAGTCCAGACTGATACATTTTTCTAGAATAGATACAATGTACGTAGGTAACAAAAAAGTTATTAAGTTATTAAGTACTTGAGATGCTTATACTATAAGCATCTCAGATGTACCTATAAGATTAAGCAAAAGATGCAGCACAAGATTTATGCAAGGAAATATCAGGATTCATGTTGCCAGCAGATAAAAATACAAGAACACTCTCTTCATAAGAGTGAGATTAGGAAGATAGGGAATTTTTCTTATAGTAGTAGTACAATATATACTTCGTTGGCATGTATGCATGTATACATGCCAATTAGCCATCGACCTTACGAGAGGTCCTTCAGGCCATGTGTGTTTTATGTGGGCCCTCTTACCAACTCCTTACGCCACCTTAGGAGCAGAACCTTTCAATTGGAACGCAACAGCGAATTGTGCGGAATCATCTCCGGCCGAGGCAATGAAAATTAGAATTTCTCTAGTTTTATGAATTAAAACTCTGCTCTGCCAGAGATTCGAACCTAGCGATCTTTCGATGTTCTCTATTTCGCCGTCCTTTTTCTTATAATTATCGACATTGAATTTTTAAATATATCTTTTCAGTTTTTACTGCTTTACATTTTATGGTATCTACATGAACTTATCAAAACCCTGATGTGGGCTCACACACTCAACAGTTCATCTCAACCTAATGTGTCGATCACTTCATGAGGTTGATGATATTATTGTCAATAATCTTGTTGTGAAGTTCCCTCAGACAGCTGATGGAATTTTCGATACAAAAAAACAACAATTTTGTTTTCTGGAAGACGAAGTACTGACTATATTATTTGACAAAAACAACATACCATTGCCTTCTTTTCAACTTCTAACGACTTTCGCGCGTTTTTAGCCACATAACATCAACATACTGTTGCCAACATTCACCAAATCAATTTATTACCATGTCCCCAGATTTGTCTCTATAGCGACATCGATACTGAATAAGCTCCTAGAATTTATCGTTCAAAATGTCGTTGGTCAATGTATTGTGTTAAGTTTCAATAGTTATGACTCACCCTGTATATCAAATTTCAGAATTTGGGGTGGTCCTATACCTTGTGTCACGCGTACCTATACCATTATTATTGATTTCATTGTTTTTACTGAATTATCATTCCTCTTTTTTTCTGTTGATAGGGGCAGAACACCGGAATGGTACCAGAAAAATTATGGACATTTATGTGCGATTTTCCTATCTAATATACAGAACTCGTTTTATCAAAACACCAGAGGCCCTGAAAGTAAAGTGTAGATAATCATGCATACCAAAGATTAATGTGAAACTTACTTTTAAGTGTTTGTAAATAGTCACAAGCCTAGGCACATTTCCTCTTATACATCACATATATAATGATAAAACATTTATATTTTTGTAATGAAAGATATATTAGCTATATATTATTTTTAGAGATAGTCCTATTTTGGTAATTTGCATGTTTGTATTATCCATTCATTACATTTCAAACATAAACACCACTTAATATTAATCACCACATTTTTCTGTATTTGGAATTTGAACCATAAAAATATTGTTGAAGAAGTTAACTGGATTTCAAATGTCTTCTGGAGTTAATATGCTAGTCACAAATTATTCAACTGGACATTTGTAAATATATAATATCATTATTATTATACATCTGTTCATATCAGTACATTTCCAATCTGTTTCGATTTGTATGAATTAATGTAGGTGTACAGGAAGGCAATAAATCAAAATTCTTGTTCCAGGCAATCTGTTCACAATATAACTTGATGCCAGTATTTAACACTTTAAAATTCAATTGTTATATTGAAATATGGGGAATACACTTATTTTGCAGCTTTAATGCTCCACTCTGTTGATAGATGCTTTATATATTATTTTGAAATATGGGCACCCTGTTTGATGAGGTCATTTGGGATATGTGAACATGGTGATGAAGTAATAACGTCCTTAAACATTACTCTACACATACAAGTTGTACGGAAAGGTCATGTTGTAAATGATAAGGCTGAAGAATGAGCCAAAATAATGCTAGTACTTCATATAAAAAAATGACTATCGCACTTCGTTACGGAGTTATTGACCTTGAAAGTTTGAATAAAAACTAAATTGCTTGTATAACGGTTGCCATGGTATCAATGATAACTTGCCAGGTAGCGGCGTGGTAGAATCGTCAGTATTCTATTCACGTTGGATTGCCGGTTGGCGGTTGGTGGGTTCGATTCCCACGACTGCAGAATTTTTCTGATAGCCAAAGAAAGTGTTTGGGATCATCCTTGCTCGCAAAAGTCTCTTGAAGACTTCTGACGGTTGCTCGTAAGGGGGCATCCGGGTGACGGATAAGAACAATTTTAAAACAAAACAAATATTCGAGCAACTCAATTAACTCATACTAATTCTTCTTTTAATATGTAAACGGCGGTTCAGTGACTATGTCTCATATATCTTGAACCGTTCTAGAGAATATCGCATTTTAAATTCATACATCCCCACCGTTTCAAATTTGATAAAACCTCTTTTATTCAATAACATCATGGTAGATGCAGTCATTCTCAAAATGGACATTACATTATTTTGACAGTATTTAATACTTTGGTAACACCATGGATGGAGTTTAGTAATGATGAGCATGTATTATGTATGACTTACAGAAACTTTCAAGGTCAATAACATTTTTTTAATATGAAGTAGGTACTAACATTATTTTGGCTCACCCTATCAGCCCTATCATTTACGACATGACCTTTCCGGACACACTGTATAATGCATCGTTCATATCATATCTCAAAACATTGCCGAAAGTACCGGAAAACCACAGTTCAAACCATGTGATGGAGTGTTTAATAATAATTATCTACAGGGGGCATTTCAGCTGGGACACATCAGTCTATGGGCAATGTTGCATGATTGTAAACAGTTGTCAATGGGTGAATAGGTACCAACTACTAATAAAATTATATATTATCTCAAGATTCTCAAGTGGTTTCATCAATCAAGCTCTCCTCAAACATTGAATTTTAACAAAAACGAATCCCTTACGAAAATACAATTTTACTTAAAATATCCACATTATATGCCTCTATTTTGAATCATATATTGTTGAAGTCTGTAACAAAAGTATTACTGGAATTATACAATACTATAAATAGTATATAAGTATTTTTATTGACTTGTTTCTATCAATAATTTTTGTGGAAAATATAAAATTGTATATAGATAAGTGTTTGATTCATAGCTGAAATATCACTCTCAGATAAAACCAAGCAAACCTTGGGACTCATGATCTTTTAAAACCAGAATGGGTTCCCATATAACTTGGGAGTGTTTTTTTCTTCAACAAGAACGTCATGCTTATATTACTCCCGCTAAACACATAATAATAAGAATTACATTCAAACAGTACTGTAGATATGAATCTATTTTCAAAACCGCTAATCTGGAAAATGTTGGGTCATGCTCACAATGTATTGATTAAATAAAGCAATATGTTACTTTCCATGTCAAAAATGCACTTATAATTCCATATTATGATAAATAAGTGCACGAACTTCATTATGTTGATTGAAAGGATAATATATTCCAATAATAGTAGGTAAATGTTTGGAGCCTAAAATTTAAATGAAATAGGTACTCATAAATAAGATAAATGACATAGTTTTTCGAAAATTTACCAGAATAATCTCGTTCTGGAAATGGTCACACGAAAACTTCACTTCCATTCAAGTTCCATTTTACATGGGCCTTATCGCCACTAGATCTGAATGGTAACTAGTATTATGTCTGAGATCAACCCCAATGCTTATAGAACCGTCACTTAAATCCTGAATACGAGGTCTCCTAGAACGCTTATGATGATGAGTAGTAGGATGACAGCGGCAATCACAATGCATCACACATAGTGCCACCGATGTTGCCAAAGTGATAACAAATGGCACAGCAAAGTAGTGTATGATTATAGCTATCTGTTCGTCCCTCTTGTAGTGCGTTAAAACAACCGTGCGGTTTTCACGAGAATGATAACATGGGAACTCCGTTCCTTCTACTCCATATGTCTCCGTGAAATTCAAACATAAAACATTCGGCGGATATCCACATCCTTTTATATTCACTAAGAGCACCGCATCATCTGTTTGATTATATGCATCTTCCTAAAAATGTAAGATTTTATGGAGAAAATGGTATAAGATAATATCTACATTTATCATTACATTTTTTTTTCAAGTGAATCATAACAAATATGGATGGACTAATGCATTTTTAGTATTCAGAATCATTTCAACTGTCATCATTTGAACATATTCAGGTGAAAACCGGCTAAAAGTATGATTGAAAAAATAATGAATATGTACAATAATTTGAATAGAGTGGGCTACTGAACAAACCTAAAGTATTGTACAATCTAATACTTTGGGAAGATTGTTCATAATAATATTTTGCATTGGAGATAGTAGAATATAGTACCTATTTTCCAAATAAAATAGGAATCCTATAATGAAGGTACTCATTTTCCAGCTTATTTTGGAGTGATAATTAAAATGCCCTGTTGGAGGTAGGGCAATGTGCTTTCAATTTTCTTTATATTGTATATGCTCTCACCATGAGACCACATCTCTCAACTATTATTGAAAATCCTGCAAGTCATTTCCACTTTCGGTGCTTCTGGCATCGCCGAGAGCAAACGCTTGGGTTCGGCTGTTTATAACCTCTAATCAATCAGTTCCGAACAAACTTTGAAATTCAATATATTCGGAAATATATTTTGTTAACAAAATTTGCTACATGTGTAATGATTATTTTACTTATTTGGCAAACTCTGGAATTCCATATCTTTGGAAATATATTTTGTTAACAAAATATGCTACATTTTTAATGATTACTTATTTCACTTATTTTCCATGGACCAGAATTAAAGATATTCCTTTATATTGATATGGAAAAGCCAATATGAATAAAAAACAAAAATGTATATCCACAACCATAATGTATGAAGAAAGTCTAGGAATAAATGTTTCCTGTGGTTAGATTTTTAGTTTGGTGACTGTTAGGAGCACCATCTTCATTATTATAAGTTACGAGGACTCAAAAATTTGTTTTTTTTTCTATGTCATTTAGATATTCTTGTCAATACCAACTTTATAACAAAAATCTGAGGCTGCTTTCACATGCATCCGTTTTCACGGATCTACGTTTGCGTGATTTACATACACAATTTTGGGTCCCTTCCGGATGGAATATGGTTCCGTGAGCTCCGTTGATATCCCTGTTTTGCGCAAATATCTCTAATAAATAAAACAATATGGGAGCAGAAAATAATAAAGAGAAGTCAAACATTTTTATATATTTGATTTATTATGGACAGACAATTCTCGAAGATTTCATGACGCAAGTGAATATTTGGCTATAGGAATGGAGGAAAACGGCAATGAAAACTTTTTCAATTATTTTAGAATGTCGCCTGATTATCTATTCCTCGGACTCTTGGAGACTAAACTTGAAAAGCAACCAAAAGAACCAGATTAGAAATTACGCTTCGATATTTGGCATCTGGTGACAGTATGACTTCTATTTCATATCTTTTTCGTGTTGGGATTTCTAGGGTTTCAGAAATTATTCATGAAACATGCCTTTTGAGGCATTTAGAACACATCCATAGATAAACTACGAACACATCCCACAAAGTTGGATTGGTTGTGAGTTGTTGATGGTTTAGGAAAAATCCAAAAAATTAAAATATTTACTCAACCTAGCTTTCATCTCATCACGGACAAACGTGTCGATTTCTATTGGTCAATATTCACATGATCCAACGGATCCGTGAAAACGGATGCATGTGAAAGCAGCCTCAGGCGGCATCACAACATACCCAGTTGGCTCAACATTGTTTCCTCCATTCAATTTGTCCATGATGAGAAGAAAGCTATGTTAAGTAAATATTTTAATTTTTTCGATTTTTTTCCTAAACCATTTACAACTCATAAACTGTGTGGGATGTGTTTGTAGTTTATTAATGGATGTGTTTTTAATAGAATATATATACAAATTTCTTACTTTTCTCTTTATTTTTTTTGCTTCCATATTGTTTTATTTCTTAGAGATATTTGTGCAAAACAGGGATAACAACGAAGCTCATGGAACCATTCCATTCGGAAGGGACCCAAACTTGTGTAGGTAAATGACAGGCAAACGTAGATCCCTGAAAGTGGATGCATGTGAAAGCAGCCTCACTCTACCTATACCCAAAACTCAAACAAATGCTTATAAACACACAAACTTGATGTGGATACACATGATACAAGTTTAAAAAAAATGTTTGGAGGGTTCTACAACTCACCTTACTGTCATTATAACTAACATATATATGGGTGCAGTGATATGCATCACTGGTACATCCTTCACGACAGGAACTCCAAGAACAATTTGCAAGCCCCATTAATTCTTCTATTCTGGTTGTTATACAAGTGACAGGCTCTGTGACAAAGTTTGAAGCTAGAGTTGATATAGCTGGATCTACATACAGGGGCACTAAAAATAAGAGGGAAGATCCAGCGGACATGGCCATTACTGCTAGTAGACTTGTGGCATAAAATAATGCTTGTTCTCGGCATGTTCGCCCAGGTAGTACCTTTGCCTTTTTAGCTGCTGCTATTTCCTAAAATCACAAATAAATTATCATGCATGTACAGTCGTATTCAATAAAAAAAAGCGTACAAGTATTGAAAAGAGAGGATGTGGAGATCCTAGTTCTAGTTGTGTAAAACTGGCTCAGCCAATGCTTTGTGTTTTTGAGAACCTATGACAAGTTTTCTGTCAACATTTGGTGAGCAATCATTTCCCATCAATTTTCCCATAGCCCGTTTTATGAAGTATAGGATGACGTTAATTTCTCTCTGTAATATACTTGTATGTTTTTTTTTAATGCGACTGTACATACCTATTCAATATAATATATATTTGCATATATGATAATAAGTTAATTTAGTTAATAGATGATGGTTGAAGAGTAGCAACATATGGAATAGAATTTGAAAATCACACTATTTTCTAGTTCATGGTAAAGGAAAATGCTCGGGAAATGGTAATAAAAGTGTCTACAGCTCTGATCCGTCTTTTTAGTAGGTGCCTATATATAATATCTCTTGATAAACATTAATAATTGGAAAATGAATTTTGAAGTTCAGTTTAATTCGAATATATCTTGAAAACGAAAATAGGTTCGTAGTTTTTTTCACCACGAATCCTAATTTGAATACCCTGTATACATAATACTATAATGATCTGCAGAAACATACCTTGATTTTTCTTTTTCTGAGCTCTTCTTGTTGATCGAGGAGCAGTTCCGAACTACTGCTCCTCATTTTAATTTCACCCTATAACATTAGAACTAGTGCAACTCGTTCACCACTTATCGCCAATAATATTTTTTCGTAAAACCGAAAGGAAACCAGGACTAGGAAAACCTAGGAAAATCCAATTTCCACACTCTTGTCACTTTTTCAATTTCAATTGAAGCGCGCATGCTCAGCACTCCGCACGAATCGTGCGGAGTGCTGAGCATGCGCGCGGCACGAATTCATTCTGACCGAAGCAACTAGAGACAGCCAGACCGACACAGGGCGCACCAAATAATACGTGCGAAACAGTGTTATCATAGATTAACGACTGTGTTATTAATTGGCGGATATTATTGAAGTCTGAGTTTCGGATCTTTTTTGATAATGAGGCGGATGATTTTCGGATGCTGCAATATTTGGGATATTTTTCGAATACTTTGATGATTCTTGTGTAAATTTCGGATCTTTTCGGATAGTTCTACAATATTTGGACTTTTTTCGCATTTTGATTTAAATATATAGGATGTTTCAGAGTTGTGGTGACAAAAAGTTCATTCATGTCGCGATAATGACTCGAAATACATGAGTTATTAAATTACCTTTATGTCAACATACCTATACTGGAACAAGGTTAGTAGAAGAGATAACCATGATACTGGAACACTAGTTACTTCAAAATTACCCCATTCAAATTGCACTTTTCCTCCTCAATTTGGCGCCTCGTTCTTCGAGATCACTAAAAGTAGTTTAGGTTGTATCGCTTTAGCGCGCTGGTCGCCACAAGTTTATAGATAATCTAGTACCATTTACTCGAATCTACTAATCGAGTACGAAAATGAGGTCATTTCTAGTACGATGAATTTTAACCCTGTAATCTGTGTCTGTTCTGTGCACAGCACGCTGATGTCAATGCAGACATATGACGTATGACGTCTCTTGTGCAATGTACAGCATAGTAGCAATTGTAGCATAGATATTTTCATGCACCCGTACCTTTAGTATCCTGATCGTGCCTATGGGCAATGAACTCGATGCCTATACAAGGTGCAAGGTTCAGAAGGTTCTCCTAGGTGTTGCTTCAGGTTCTTGTTCTTTGCTTGTTATATTCAACAACAGCTTATCGTACGATACGACGTACACTAGAAATAATATTATGTTTGCTTGATCCTTTTAAGTGTTTCCTTAAACTGGGATAAGTTAAGATATTTATTGTCTTTGGTAGTGAATGAAAAAAATATGAACATGAACAGCTGACAAATGAAAAATCGTGTACAAGGAAAATGTATTATAACTTGAGGCTGACTTGAAGTAATGGAGTATAAATCACTTATCCTTTGTATCCTTTGCTCATTCTTGAGAATATGCCAAAGTATAGATCAAGGTACTATATTATATTATGTGATTATATATAGTGCATGTTATAAATCTGTTTTGTTTCAGCATCATTTTATGGCAACAGCTATATATCATTGCCATTCAAAGAAGCAAAAAGTGCAACACACATACAGTTCAGGTTCAAGACACAACTTCCCAATGCCCTAATATTACTAGTTGCTGGTATAACTGATTACTGCATTGTGGAGATAGAAAAAGGAAGAATAAAAGTTAATATCAATCTGGGTGCTGGAGAATCAGAATTAATATCACCCTCAGGATTGAAATTAAATGATATGAAATGGCATGGAATTATTATTGAACGTAAAGAAGCTAATCTGTCCATGGTTATTGATACAATTTACAAAGTACAGTAAGTTATATCAATTCACATAATCCATAATATGTAGAGAGTAAACAAAATTTCCTATATTTGGAGCTAAAGTTGAAAGTCACAAAGAAATATGAATTTGGCAATGTTGGCCCAAGAGTGCAATTTTTGATGGTGAACGGTAGAGGGTAATGAATAGATAATTTGATCATGTATTTTGCTATCCTCTACTCTCCTGTACTAGCTCATGTATGAGGTGATTGTTTTTATTTCCACACTTGCAATTATCTCTCATTATTTTGGCTCTACATTGGAAATTCAAATACCAACCTACTGAAATTATGTCAGAAATTACTAGGGTTTTAAGGATGAAAATTCTTAAATGAATAAAACAGTTAAGGTGAAGTGGGGTAAATGTGATAAAGGGGCAATTGTGATATTGCATCATAATTTCAACGCAATATTATTAATTCTGCTGCCATCTACCTCACAACACTTCAAGCTTACCCGCGAATGAGCACAACACTAGATGGAACGAAATTTCTTGCCAGTCTGATTGCAAGCGGCGCGACCTTCGCTGGTCAAATTATAACCTTACATTGAAGTCGACACGTATTCTGGAATTTTCATGTGATATCATTCTTTTATGAGGTAGGTCCACTGCAGTGTTTATAACCTCTCTTTTTAAAGTTATATTATGTATTAATCAATCATTATCATGCATAAATCATGCCGCTTATTTATTTGTTGATATATCACATTTTCCCCATGAAAAATGATCATGGGGGCAAATGTGATACATGAATTTGGGGCAATTGTGATATGTATAGTACATTTACCCCGTTGTTTTTAGATACATCATGGTGCGAAAATACATCAAGAAGAGAAATGTAAATGATGTTGAATATTCTATCGAAGCCTTAAGTTCAGCAATTGTAGAAGTGAAATCAGGACGAAAAACTATATATGGGGCTTCTAAAGAACACAAAATACCTTATGTTACACTTTATAGTCGTATCAAAGGCATACGAGGAAAGAAAAAAGAGAATAAAGGACGTCCAACACATATTCCCATCATGGATGAATTGAAATTGGCCAATGGCTTGAAAACCCTAGAAAAGTGGGGATTCGGGTTATCGAGGAAAGAAGTGTTCGAGGTGGTTGGGAAGTTTGTGAGAGAAAACAAAATCAAGACAAGTTTCAGAAATGGAGTCCCAGGTGAGGACTGGTTTCTGAACTTCAAAAAACGCCATAATATGAGCCTCAAGATACCGCAAAATGTGGAATATGCGCGAAAAAAAGCGTTGGACCCATTCATAATCTTTTCTTATTTTGATCTATTGGATAAAACTATCACAGACCTTCAACTTCTTGACAAACCTCACAGAATATGGAACCTGGATGAGAGCAGTCTGAGCATAGATCCTAGAAAATCTAAAGTGGTCGGTGCAATTAACAAACCATCATCAAGAACTATAAGTTCACCCGGTAAAGAAAACACTACAATCTTGTTGATGTGTAATGCAAATGGCGATAAAGCACCACCATTGATAATATATAAGGGAAAACACTTATGGGACCAGTGGCTTGCTCCTCCCAAAACAGATTTTCCAGGCACCGTTTATGCTGCTAGCAAGAAAGGCTGGATGGAGAGCGATATCTTTACAAATTATTTTCTGAAGACTTTAATTCCAGCACTTGGTCCAGAACGTCCTGTTTTGATCATTTACGATGGTCATTCAACACATATAGGTTTGGAAATACTCGAAACAGCAATTCAGAATGATATCACTATATTGAAGCTGCCTCCACACACCAGTCATTTACTGCAGCCATTGGATCTTTCTGTTTTCCGACCATTCAAATTAAAATGGGATGAAAAACTGATTTCTTGGCAACGACAACATGTGGGCCAGAAATTACCAAAAAAAATATTTTCACAGTTCCTCTGTTCTACCTGGAAAGATATTTCAACTGAAGTTATAAAAGGTGGATTTCGAAAAGCCGGAATTTCTCCACTAAATAAAAATGTCATTCCAGAAGAAGTTTTTCCTCCAGAGGCTCTGAAAAGATGGCATGATCATAGGACTAATGGTAACAACACAGAAGCTATGGTGGTGACAAACACTCTTGGCAGAAGATCGATACCAGATGATACTGCAGTGGCCACTACATCTGAAGTCATAGGAGCCACGGTCGTGACGAACAGAATAACTTATGATAAACCTTCGATGCCTGATGATAATGTAGTGGCTACTACATCTACAGATATATTGATGAACGAAACCAGTGATAATATATCTTTCGAAAATTTATTGTTGGCCTCAATTCGTCAAGCGCCTAAACCAGATCAACAGAAAAAAACAAGAATATGTCCTGGTTCGGAATTATTAACATCAGAAGAGGCGGTGAATCGGCTTAAAGATCAATTTAAAAAAACAAAACAACCGCAAGAACGAAAAAAAAAAAGTGGAACCAAAACAATCTAAAAAAAATAAAAAGAAGCGAACACTTTCATCAAGCAGTGAAGATATGGAACCAGAGTCTCCACCTTATATGGATTCAGACAACTCTGAAGAGTTTTTAGAAGAACTGGGCGATACCCTAGTGGATGAAAATGAAGATGTTGACCAAACTGTCACTGTTAATTCTTGGGTGTTAGTCAAATACTGCAGCAAGAAAATGATCAAACACTTTGTTGGAATGGTGACCGAGGCATGTGACGATGGTTGGACAGTAAAATTCACAAAATTTTCGAAAAACACATTTTCATGGCCACAAGTAGGGGATGAGGACATTATACATCAAAGTGATATTGTTAGGGTTTTGCCAGAGCCAACTCTCAATAGACGTGGTTCTTTTATATTTTCAGTGTCATTTGAAGGCTATAATTTAGCATAATAGTTATGTTTTTCATGTCAATATTGAATCCAATATTGTTATTTACGTTATTTTTGCAAATTCTTCCTCACATTTGTTGTGACAAGAGATTAGGTTTATTTTACATTTCATCAGTTAAACTTTGAAAGCTTCATAACTTTCTTCTTTATTGAGATATTTTGATTTTGTAAAAACCAGAATAATCAATAAATTACATTCATTATACATTTACCCCATTCTATTTCACTTGAATCATTCACAGGTAGACATATATCATTATCACATTTGCCCCAAACGCTGGGGTAAATGTGATATAATAAGACCGTTTTAAAAAAAAATTCCTAACTTTTTTCAAAAAGGAGTTGAAAAGGCGTCAGTCCTGGTATCAATCAAAAACTATATTCAAATCGTTGATAATTTTTTATAGAAAACTTTTTCCATTTTAATTATCAATTTTGGTATTTTCTTCGTGAACTATTGAAAAACTATATCACACTTACCCCACTTCACCTTACCAATAATTGTTATGGCCATGGCTCAAAAGCCAACATGGCAACATTCCCCTAATATATTGATGGATCATGTGATACATGTGATTTGATTAAGGGTCTAGTGAAGGGACCAGAATATTTCTGAAAAGGTACTGTTGATTGGTGGGGGTTGGCACCCCTTTCTCCCAAACTTCTATGCCAGTGGATATCTCACAGAGAAGATTCGATTTTTGGATTCCCTGTTTAATTTAGAAACAAATTACCCATCCAAATTCTCAATTTATGGTCAAAACTTACTAGATTCTGTACAGGCTGTAAATGGTATATTCCTATGATCTTTATGAAGTATATATGTAATACTGTTGATTTTTATGATTTCCAAATGTAATGCTGCCCACAGAGAACTCATCTCATCCCCTATCTTTCTTATTGAACATTTTTTAACAGAATTTCATCATGAAATAAATAATTCTACTATTTGTTATTGTTCTATTGCCTATAAAAATTAATGACGTTTATCTTGGACCACCCTGTATATTAAAGGAGCATAGGTATGAGGTGTAATTATTAGAAAATATACCTATAGCTAGTATAGGTATATTTTCTCTCTTGCCGAGAGAGTGGAACAAAAATGGATATCATTTCAATGGAGTTTTATCATGAAGAACAAATGTATTATTGAAAAATCCTTTGAACATGGCTATCCAACAGTACAATCATCTCCCACAGGAGGTAAAAAATTGCAAAATTCAAGAAAATGATTAGAGAGCAATAGATAGTTAGGAGTAGGAAAATATGGAAGGGTAAAATTAGAAATAAAATGCTAAGAATTGTGATGATAGTTAAGTTATAAACCTAAAAATACATTACATGCATTATATTATATTATATCACAATAAGTATTCTTGAAATGAAAAAAAAAGAGGAAACACCATATTCCTAATTAAAATCCTGTTACCAGCACATGTGCTGCTTAGGGATCATTCCAAACGTTTATACATATAGGTATGTAATCTTTTTCAAATAAATGAATCTTAAAAAAAAAAAGTGGTGCTAGTAGTAGTAGTATACAGGGCGTCCTATAAGTCATGGATCAAAAGAAGTGGGGTGGTCGGGAGGTTAGTTTCCAATCAAACTAACCATATATATATATGTGGTTATCCAATTGTTGATGGTTCAAAAGTTGTCTTTTTTTTATTTCTATAAAAAAAATTGATTACATTATGTGTCTATTACTGGGTATCCCAGATCTTTTCATAGAGCCAATATCTCAGTTGCATAGGCGCCGGCAGCAGGGTGCAAGGGGGTGCACGTGCACCCTCCTAGGGAAAAAGGAAAAACAAAAAAATATATATTGAGAATTCGTCCAATTAAGTTGCTGTTTGAATTACAACTTGACGGTTCTAGGTTGCTGATATCCAACAAGCACATTTTTGCACTAAATTCAACATTGAATATTTTCACGAAAATTCCACATGCCGTTTCCTTCATTTTGAAGATGAATCTATTGGGTATATTGCCACTGATGGATAATCTTCATGATGACATCTAGTTAAACCGGGAGACAAACAAACCTCTGCAAAATATTGGGCAATTCTCCATGCACCCAATTTGATGAAAAATGTATGGGATATTACTGGAAATAGTTTTGCAATTTTCCCTGATCTTTTCAAGATGAAAAATCATTGAAAAATGTGAGATTTCGTCTATCTGACAAGAATTATTTTTCATTGCAGCGCTATTTTCAGAGATAATCTGTTGGATAGGTTGTTGTGTTGTGACTGAACTTATAATATAGTGTTTAAAATTGAATAACAAACATTTTTCTCGACATTCCACAATAAAGGAGAAAATTAAGATACAGGGTGATACACCTAAGTTGATGGAAGTTGTATATATTCACACAAACTTCTGGAGTTTATAGAAAATGAATGTGATGCATCAACAATGAGTTCTTAACCGTCATTGGAATATAGTTCAGTATGGAATATACAAGCTAAGACACAATAATTCACTTATTTCTCTTATAAGAAATCATGAAAAAGGTGACTGTCTACTCAAGAAGCCATTGTTGATACATAAATAACAATGACTTCTTTTGAGAAGACGAAGTAACCTTCTTCATAATTTCTAAACAGAAAGAAGCATCCGGTCATTGTGTCTCAACTCGTATATTCCACACTGAGCGACATTCCAATGATGAGTAAGAAGTCATTTTGGTAATGGATAGCATAAATTTATTAACGAAAATGAGATTGAAAAAAATCTCAAATATACTTCATAACGTTGGAGACATGGAGAATTCTTCAACATTTTGCAATTTTTTTTGCCACCATGTATTTTCATCAGCGGTCTAATAGTCATATACTCAATGGATTTGTTTTCAAAATGAAGAAAACCGCATCCGGATATGTGCAGTCATGGCTAAAATATTCAATGTTGAATTTAGTGCAAAAATGTGCTTGTTGCAGTTCAATAATTGATCAGGAGATTATAACTGATATTTTATCAGTTGATAGTATTATGCAGATGCACCCCCCTGAAAGAAATTCTGGCGGCGTCCATGCTCAGTTGTTATTCTCATGCACAAAATATTAGAAAATTCTCCTGTCAAACCCATCTTTGAAGCCATCGTTTCAGTCAACTTATTTTGTCAAAGTACCCCAGAAAAGCAAACCCCAACTTCAATTTTTAAAGTTACACCCTATACATTAAATTGTTGATTTGTAAATTGTAGTCAATTATAACTTCAATGGTGTATCACACTCGATATTTTGACAAAAGTAATACTTTCAAGATTAGAAACTTCACAGGAAACAGTATATGTGATAATAAATAATTCATTGTATACATTTTTGGCTCCCAGTGTACTTTATTCATATCAAATGAGAAAAACTATCAGGTGTAGATAATTTTTGTTGTTGTTCTTTTTTGACAGTTTTTATTATCATTGTTACACTCTCTTATTCTGTCAGTTGGGGCGGGTGGCTGTGACAGAAGTTGACCTTGACACAACGGCTTCGAAGTCATATGAGTTTGACAAAAGTGTATGAAAAATTCCAAGTGGGATAACTCACGATTAACTGAGATATGGGCTGTATGAAAAGATCTGGGACACTGTACCTATGAAAAAAATTACATGCAAATATCTCCCAAAATGAAATATAGTTAGAAGACAGGTTTGGCAAAAATGTCATATAGAGTTAGGGGGAACTAGAATCCCATATTTTTGTGAAGGGGTCCCTCAGGCACGACCCACCTCATTATTGAAATGTCAAGCGATACTATTCCTTTTGTAATGTGATTTGTGGATGTTCTCACCTGAGTCGCCTGTACAAGAATTTGATGAGAAAAAAAGTCTTGCACAGTCAATTCTACTAAGTGAAACCAAAACGAGAAAGGTAAAGTGCCATTTCACATTCACTTCGAGATGGTTTTACGCCCGGCGCTATTATTCTCTCCCGGTATTTTCATTAAATTTGACTTTCTCACGTTGGAAATGGATGGAAAATGCAGTTAGCTTTCTTTCCATACCAAATAATACATGATACAAATAACATTCCCCCTAGGCAATGAAATGGATGAATTGTCGGCAATACTAATAATTCCTACAATTTATTTCTTCAATTAATTTATTTCATCAATACTGCCTTGCATGATATATGCAACATCTTCTACAAAAATAACTGCAATAGCAAAAAATGAAAATACATGATCGAAAATGCTGACATAATAGAATGGGTTGTATCTTGTACCCACTACCATTCACACCTTTAGATGTTGGCAGGGCATTTTATCGAAAAATATCGTCTAAAACTGTACATCTGTAGAAAAAACGTCTCATTAACATGGATTCGAAATATGCTTGCCCATAGTCCAACACTAGGAATTCACTAATCAATTCTAATGTAAAATTAAACGTTTTTGTGAAATATTTCAGAAAACATCTTCCTGGTAAATTTTTCGAGCTGAATATTCATTATGGTTTATTTGTCGGTGATAACAAAAACAAGAATAATACAGATATATTTTTTGGGCATGTTGAGAAATTCAGAGGCTGCATCTCTAACGTGAGTAAAGTATTGATGGCTGGTTGAAATTTCGGACATAAATGGCTGGGGTGTTATTTTTTAGTTGATATACAATGATATGAAGGTCCTGGAACATGCTAGACACAGACAATCTCAGTCCAGCGTTCAAGGAATCACCTGGAATTGTGCTGCTGAATTCGAAGCAACCAACGATCAACCTATTAGCTTCATCGAAGATGATGCCTATATGATATTTTCTCATAAGACACACTACAAAGAATTCAGAATTCAGTTTGAAGTGAAAACGATAAGTAAAGATGGATTGTTTTTTTATAATCCGGGTCACAAATTGAAACAGGACTATTTCTTGATTGAACTGAACAATTATTCTTTGAAAGTTCTTATCAAAATTGGTGATAAAATTTCGAAAGTAGCAAGTAAGAACATGAAGATATCTGATGGAGAATGGCACAGAGTTTCATTCAGAATATCACCATCCATTATTGAACTCAGTTTAGATGAAAAAATCATTAGTGAAAAAAACATTCATGGTCACCTATTCCAACTGAGCGACATCTCTTACATAGGGGGGCTAGAAATGAGCAAGCGTTTTCGAGCCTACCAAAAAGGTTGTAGCAAATCCTGTGATAGCAGTTTCAAAGGTTGCCTGAGACAATTGTCTATTTTTGAAGAAAACAGAGGGCTACCAGATGCCTATGTCACAGAAGGGCTCTTACCAGGTTGTGTGTGGCACTATCCATGCCTTCGGAATCCTTGCAACAACAATGGCTTTTGTATACAACAAGGTCTCGATTCCTTTCAATGTCAATGCCAGGAAGACCTCTGTGTCAACGTCAATTACACCGAAGGCTATAAAGTATTCTCGAAAAGCAATTTAGCTACCGAACTAGAGCTTTTAGCTGTCGAACCGTTACAAGTACTGGAAAGTGGCAGTGAGATCATCACTACCAAAAATCTGCATATGATTTTGGATTATCCGAAATATGGGATCACAGACTCCGGTATAACTTTCTTCATTGTCAAAGGCCCAGAGCATGGGAGCATCACCATTGATATTTGGCCACACGATAAGAATTCATTCTGTTTGTTTGATGTAGCCAGAGATAAGGTTTACTATGTTCATGAAGGTTCCGAAGATAACCATGATACTATCGTTCTTGAAGTTGAATTTTCCGCAGCCGATACCTTCACGTTGCCAGCCTATCTACAAGGAAAATTTCGTTTCGGTCTATCGATAAATGTGGTCCCTACAAATGATCCTCCTATGCTGGATATTTCCGATGCCACTGTTTTCAGAACAGTACAGGTACTCCAACAACACATAATGATATTACTATATTAGCATGATTTTCGGAATGTTGTTTTTTAATACCTAATAATTCAATAAGTTTGAAGTCACAATTAATGAACAGGAAATTAGTGTTTTCTTTATTTTGTGGTATGTTCACATTATAATAACAAAATGTCTCAACAATCAAAATGAGTCTCTAACACTGAATCTGAATATCACTGAAGCCATGATACAGATATGCAAGATGCCTCTATACTTGGATATTTGTATACCCTGGATGTATGATAACAATTTTGCCGTTATTTGCATGTTTCTTTTCGGAAAAATAATTATTTTTCACCACATTGGTAGATTCACAAGTTTTTGTGTCAGATTGTGCTTTTTTAAAAATTCCTATCTGAACACCTGAAACATTATAATAGAGTAACATTCTAGCAAGCCACCTTTTTTACTGCTATGAAATATTCCCTTCAAATTCAAGTACCCGTCCATCAGACTTTCCTGTATTCACAGGGTGTCGCAAATCTATGAGTAGGTCGCAGAGTAGGTACATGTTTTCAAATAGACTGTGCTCCCCGACTCGGTTTCCGATAATGTTAGATTCAACAAATTTAAAGTAAAGATATTTAGACTTCAAATCGAAATTTATGAGCAGATATTGGCTGGAATCAATAATTGAATAAGCAAAATTGTGTCTTGCTTAACCTATGAATGCTTTTTTTAAATGTTCTAATAGATATTGATTAACTGATATTATAGTTTTTATTAATTTTTTTAGTTTCACTTGAATGTGTTCTGTTTTATGGCATGACTAGCTAGCATAGAATATGAGCCAGGTGAGTAAATTTGTGATTTCTTGGTTTTCGAAATGAACGATTTGAAATATTTATATATGTATACACTGTATCCCAGCTAAAGTGCCCCCCCTGTAAAAAATCAACTGCACGATCGAATGACTTGAAATTTGGTCACCAAAAGTGATGTTAACTTGAAATATGCTATTGAATAAATCCTATGTATACAGGCCACAGGGTCACACCGAAGTGCACCTAAATTTTTTGTTATATGAATAGGGATATCCAGTATGTTATTCCATATTCAAGTAGAGCTCATTATTACAAATTGAACAGTACAGGGTATAATGGTTTTTTTTCAAACGACCACAGAGATATGGAAAACCATATCTTCCATCGAACCCACAATTGTTGAATTTGTAATGATGAGCTCTACTTGAATATGGAATATTATACTCTAGGATTTATGGCCCATCCTGCGAAAATGTATGCCAAGCCCCTTGGTTTTTTAGGTGAATCTCTTTACTAATTTCGTAGTGAAAACATGCGATCTACTTTTATGCTATAATCATCTACGAAAAAAATATATAAAAAAACAGAGGAAGAAACCTTACCTTTGACTTATTTTTCATCAGTCTATACAACTATACCATAATATTTATTCTTCCTTTCCCTATTCGCACTGCAACCACCTGCAACTCTCTCACAATAGTAATAGTTACTTTCACTCAGTCTGCATAGTCACCAAATGATTATCGGTAGTATAATCAGGAATAAACGCCTGATTCAATCACGTCGGTGATTCACCCTATGGTATCGATGAACCTCGGTGATTCACCGGCGTTCATCGATCCGGTATAAACTACGGAGTACGGACATTGCCGACAAATAACGATCAAACGATCCCTCGTGCTGAAAGCTTCGATTCGGATTCGGAACGCAAACGCAGTCGGCGGGGGCTGGGCTGCGCTGGCTTGCGTGGGCTTGCGACAAATACTTAATAACGTGCACACACTGCACATAGAGGCTAGAATATTTGCAGCACATCACATCACAGTAAGAGTGGTAAGACTTGATAATATATTATGAAAACTTATTCCCGTTATAGAGTAGCTATAACGAGAATAACAATTTCAATTATACTGTGTTATACGTGGTTATACCACTACCGCGTAGGCCCTCTGGGCCCCCGTAACGTCCGACCCTCCAGCGCCGCGGTGTTTCGCGGTGTAGTAGAATATAATATATTGGGTGTCCCTGTTCAAATGATAATGTTAAGGTGTTCTTCGGTATGACCCTGTTGAATATCATATTTCGAGTAAACATCATCAAATATACTGGTGACCAAATTTCATGTCATTCGATCGCGTTGTTGATTCTTCACAGGGGGGACATTTTAGCTGGTACACGGTGTATACAGAGTGTGATTTATTAAAAATGGGCAATCTCTGAACTGCAGATAGTGAACACCAAAATATGAAGATTTAGCTCAGCATGACTAAGAAAAATGTTGCTAGTTTAGGAGGGGACCATTTATTTTATAATTTCTCATTTACTTTGATCGACTTTTCGTTGTTGTTAGTGATTGTCACTATTGATTACTGTATTTTTTCCAGTGTCATTCAACTAACTTCATAATCAAAAACTGATACACAATTATTTTCAAGAGCGAATAACGCAAAAACCCTTAGAGCTAGACCATTTAAAAAAATAGTACATTTTTTATGTGAAATTGAACGTGCTTTCAGATTTTCAACTCATTTCAACCATTACTACTTACCATTATTCAATGGGCAAAGAATAAGATATAATTATGATGTAATTTACTGACGTAAGTGTCACTAGCGCCCTCTATGAGCAATCACAAAATATGTTCTTCACTTTTTTCGATATAACTGAGAAACTAAAAACAATTTTGAAAATTTTCGAAGGCTGTTGGTATGAGCATCCGAATGCGCAACTTTTTCCCCATTTAACCGACTTCGTATCTCCTACCGTTTCCGAGATCCCCATGCTGTGCAACCTTATCTTGGACAGACTGTATAGTCATTTCATATCTCATTCAAAGTCTACAGATAGTGTGACAATAATGTATGGTAGTAGCAGTAGAATGGATTTGTCATTACAATGGTTTTCAAGTCATTATGTATTCAGGTTCGAAATAGATAGATGTTTTTCAAGACCACACTTGTCATTGAATATTGTATAGATGGTTGGGCTACGCTTTCAAAATAAACTCATTCAGTTATAGCCGGAATGATCTGTCTCACTTTTATTAGGGTCAGGGTATGAATGGGAACAATTTATAAATGCTTCTAATAAATTATGGATTTTTTCAGGGAACTAAAAAGTTCATATCGTCAGATATATTTAATGCGGTTGACGCAGATAATCCACCAAGAGATTTGATTTATACGATACTCAAATCAGACAGTGGTTTCTTTGAGAATGCCAATAAACCAGGAGTCAAGATAATCTCATTCACCCAAGAAGAAATCGATGAAGGAAACATTTTATTTTTCGATCGGAGTTCAAACATAAATAGCTCTTCCGTGTCCATGCAAGTTTCTGATGGCATGGTGACGAGTTCAGTCTACAATTTGAGAATATCTATTGCTCCTCAATATTGGAGATTGGAAAGGAATACTGGTCTTGTTGTTCTGCATCAAACCTCATCCATAATTACCCACTACAATTTGAGCTTCACTTCAAACGTTGCCATCTCAGATTATTCTACACATTACACTGTGGTAAAACGGCCTATATATGGGGTGATAGAAGTCGAGAGGGTTGCTAATACCTGGGAAATATCAGATATTTTCACTGGAAGTGATTTGAAACAACACAGAGTGCGATATAGACATGTCAATGCCAAGCCAGATTTTGATGAATTCCAGGTGAGTGGTTGAGCTGGACGATTTCAGCAACGAATTTTTCATTGTTTATTTTTTTTTAGTTTCGTACGCTAGATAAGACTAAGCTATACACGTTCAGGTTGACTTTCGCCAAATGCACATTATACAAGGTGAAATTGAGGGATATGGAATTGAGGAACCAATGGGAAATAGTCATATCCGCAGATACATTATCATTCGAGACGAAACCGGCTAAAGCTCTCACCTCGATACATTACGTAATTGCCAAGCCACCTCAATACGGATTTCTTTTCTCTCCAAAATCAAATTATCGTTTGAGATCTTGTGACACTTTTACTCAGGAAGACATCGTTTCTGAAAACATAAAATATAGCTTGCACCAGAAGGGGTATTCCGATGTGCATGATGGTTTTACATTCGTTGTACTGTCTCCCGGGTGCAATAACGTAACAGCAAATGTATCACTAAATTACTCGCCATCCAACGTCGATAAGGCAAAAGTGAATGTACATTTGAATCACATTCAAGTGGACGAAGGTTACTCTACAGTCATAGATCATACGGTCTTATCATTACAGGCAGAATTTCCATTGGATTTGGTATACAATATAACAAGCCAAACTCGTCATGGGTTCTTGCAACTCATCAAAAGCGATACCATGAAGAATAATACAGATCATTTCACATCTTCTGATCTGAAAAACAATTTTCTCCATTATATTCATGATGGATCGGAAACGCAAACTGATTCATTCGTTTTCATGGCTTTATCCAAAGATGACGAGAGTTTCGAGTTCGTAGGAGAAGTGAATATAAGAATCGAGCTAAAGAACGATAACAGCCCAATTCGTGCAGTCGACAAAGTGTTTCATGTCGTGGTAGGTGGCGATAGACTGTTGACCGGGAAGGACCTCAAATATACTGACAAAGACTTGGGCACCCCTACTTCCATGATAGTTTATACATGTCGAGATTCATCCAACGGATATTTTTATAACGTCAATAACATGAATACGAAAATACTGGAATTCACTCAGGAAGATTTAGATGATAACAGAATAATATTCAAACATAAAGGGACGGAGTATGGTAAAGTCAGGTTATGGATTACCGATGGACAATTTCATTTGAATGGAATTCTGGAGATACAAGCTTCTGCTCCTTTCATCCACATCACAATGCATAAAAAAATTATCGTGGAGCACGGGAAAATCGTTGTCATCTCTAGTGCTCATGTTTCCTATGAGACAAATTTATATGCTTACGATAAGGACGTGGTTTACGAGATAACTAATAAGCCTAATTTCGGCAAAGTGGTCTCGTCAAAAACTCTCAAGGTATGTAAACAATTGTTAGAGTCATTGGTTGAACATATATTTTACCCTGTTATTTAGGTGATAAAAAACTTTACACAACAAGATGTTTATGATGGACTTGTCAGCTATCTGAATGAAAATACGGCGGTGAATGCCGATGAGGTCGGAATTAAAGTAACTTGCAGGGATGCAGTTGATGTTGCCCAAATAGGTATTTGGATGTTACCATCAAACTATTGGGAACCCCTAATACCGAATAATCTGAAGAAACTCTTGGTCGAAGAGTCGACCAGTGTATTGATAACGAGAAAGGATCTGGAGGTTTGTTTTGATATTTTCCTGTAATATCTAACATAGAGTTCATATAATTTTGAAACGTCCCACCGCCCAAATGACATTTCGTTTTTTGGGGTGGGTCATCATATAATGGACTTGGCCGATAGTGTAATGTACCTACTTCCATTCTAGGTATTTCAAGCAAACGTTCCTTCGTCTGCCATCGTTTATCACATTATAGAAATCCCTGAATATGGTTACATAACCCTTTTAGGAGATTCAAGGAGCGGCGATGAACCGATGAACGTTTTATCTTTCACCCAAGATCAGATAAATAACAATGAAGTTTTGTACATTCAGTCTGGAGCCAACCAGACGAAAGACAAAATAACGTTCAACGTCACTAACGGCATTATATGGCGAAAAAACATTCAACTAGATATTGGCATAATACCGGACAGATTGTATTTAGGGAGCAACGACGTAATGGTCAATGAAGGAGGCGTGGCAGCTATAAGTGTAGCACACTTATTCGTACTGACGGACTACTACAAATCCAAAGTGACTGTTTACACGATCACGGAAGCCACTAGGCACGGTTGCGTCCAGGTTCATAAACGTTGTTTAAAATCGAAAAGTTTCACGCAGAAAGAACTTCAAGCTGGCCTTGTTCAATATTCACATGATGGAAGTGAATATTCGAACGATGAATTGCTCGTTGTCGGAGATGCTGGACAGAAGAGAAGTTTTCCCGTGACACTTAAGATCATCGTCTTACCAGTGAATGACCAGTTACCGAAACTAGTGAATAATACCGGAATGATTATGTGGGAAGGTGGAGTTTCCGTTATAACAAATGAAATGTTAGGTAATGAATGATCGATCTCGAAAAAGAAGTCTTTGTATCTATCTAGAAGTGTTCGTTCGTTTTCAGCTGCGACCGATGAAGACCTGCCCAAAGATACTCTGAAGTACCATGTCCAGAATTGTTGGTGGGGCGTTGTTTCTTTGATGTCGGATGTAGCATCTCTCACTTATTTCACACAAGAATTTATAGATAAACGGATGGTAGTCTTCAGACATTATAGTGGGTATCCTGGAATATTGAAAACAGCAAATTTAACAATGAATTACATTATTTTCGAACATAATAACTAACAACTTATTAAAATATATGCTTTCCAGATGGGACTGAAGCAAGATTCAAATTCAATATCAGCGATGGTTTGCACACTACAAAGGATTATTTATTTCACATCAAAACAAAACCGGTGAAAATGGAACTGGTTAGCCATCCACTACACATATTTCCATTTCAAAAAAAATATCTCACTTCCAACCATCTGCTTGTAACCATATCTGATGCACAGAGAACAGTTTATTATGATATTATCGAAGAACCTAGTTTAGGAAGGCTTATGATGGAATCCGAGAAAGCCGGCATATTCAAAGTCGTGTCCAGTTTCACGCAGAACGACTTGAACGAAAGTAGAATTTTCTATGAGCATACGCATCAGTTCTCTGATTTGTATGCAAATGATTCCTTCGTATTCAATGTCAGAGCAAACTTGGCAGCCGGATTAACCACACAGGTAAACTATTCCTCAGAATTTATTGACTGTGGTAGAGGTGGGTACATGTCAAGTAACATACGTATTATTTTGTAGGCCTTGAAAATAGACATTTCCGTGTCTTCCGGTGGATTGGACGCTTATGTTAACATTCCGAAAGTTTTCGTAGACGAAGGTGGTACTACCACGATACATCTCAATCTGTCGGGAGTGGTGTCCTTCTTGGAAAACCACGCAGGTCTCAGGTTGCCGATAATACACGCATCCGCCTCACGACCGTTGCACGGCCAAGTTTTCCTCCAACGTGATAAGAACTTGACCACCTTCACCCAATCCCAATTGGAGACGGGACAAGTTTACTACGAACACGATCATTCGGATTCCTTGGGAGATAACGTGCACTTCTCGTTATATTTGATTCCGGGATACGTGATTTTGTGTAACGTAACCGTGCCTGTGATCGTGAATCCCATCAACGACCAACCCTTCAACCTCGTCACTCCGGCACCCAGTCTGATAGTGGTGCAAGGCGAAAATCGAACAATAACAAGGCACGAATTGGCCACCGAAGATGCCGACACGGCTCCCGCCAAACTCAAATACGACCTCATATCTGGCCCTTCACATGGCAAACTAGTGCTACTACCGGAATGTTCGCCGGTCTCTTATTTCTCCCAAGCGGACATCGACAGCAACAAACTCTTGTACGTACACGACGGATCCATGTTGAAGGACTCCTTTCACTTCCGGATATGGGACGGCAAGTTCCCGCCCGAATTTAGTTTGTTCAATGTGATCGTCGCTCCGATAAATATCAGCGTTTCACCGGGCATGCCGGCTCACTTGTTGCAAGGCTCCGACGTGGTTTTCTTGACGGAAAAACAGTTTTTCATACACACCAATGCCGACAGAAACAAGATACGTTTCACTGTGAAGAGAGCAGCGAAGCACGGAATGCTATACAAAGATAATAATTCTGTCAATCATTTTCACAAAAACCAACCGATGACAGCTTTCACGTATAGAGACTTGCTGAATAAAAAAGTGATGTACCTACAGACGGATATGACGAACTCCAACGACAGTTTCCGAGTGGTAGCCGAACTGTTTTCAGGAGATGGTTCGTTCGGCGGCGAAGTCGATGTCGTCATCAGAGTGAAGCCGTTCATGCACATACACAATGTGACCGTCAAAGCTGGGGAGATGAATCGAATCACCGTACGCGTTCTGGACGCCAATCCGTTGGCCAAACTGACCAGTAGCAATCCGCGTTACACGATTCTCCGACCGCCGGTGTACGGAGAAATTCGAAAAATAATTCGCAGTTCCGGCGAGAACAGGAACGTCCTGGATGTGGTCGTGCACACGTTCACTCATGAAGACGTCCAGAGCGGTCTTATTTTCATGGCGGTGAAAAACGTAGAAGTGCCTTGGGAAGGGATCGAAGATAGACTAGAATTCGCTCTGGCAGCGACCATATTCCAACCGGCGATGGGCGAACTGAAGATCCATATAAGGCCCCTTATATCGAACAACGACGTTTCTTCCACGTTGCCGGGCCCCAGTGATCCCGCCAGCCACGAAGGCGGCTTGCATTTGGCTAGCCCTAATATGACGAAAGACTACTTACTGATAGGTAAATTCCATTCGTTCTTCTCTAGTCATTCATCTCATGGTACGATTTTCATTCTTTCGAATATGACAGTTACTGGATCTGCTTTCTCATGTTCTCATTCGCATGATTAAATGGTTGAGCCGACCTAGTCTTACATGTTAGTCCGTCACAAAATATTGTGTATCTCCACATTGACTACTAGTAGCCATTTAATATGCAAACTGTACTTGGCTTGAGCTTCTGACAGTTCAAGCCAGAATCACATGGCTCATATTATCCGTAATTCAAAGTAAAATCAAGTCAAGGTAAAAATAAATGTTATCTGAAATAAAGTCAATTTGTTTTATAAAACAAAAATATTACATCAACAAAATTATTTCTGAGGTATATAAATTTTTTAAGCTTTCCTCATTATTTTGCTTATGTGCATACTAATAAATCAGCGGGGTACTTATGTCGTCGCTGTCAACTCGACTCGCAAACATGAATCGACAATTCAATCGTAACGCTACATTTGGACTGACAATGGCATCCTGTGATACAACGTTTTTCTGGTGGCCGTGGAACTCCAACCTAGATTCACATTAAGAAAATCCATTTTTTGGGCAAACATTCGTACATGAAGGAAAGAAATATTGAAAGGCAATTTGCTGAAAAACATTTCTCAACATTGCGGCACTTAACCTGTTAACAGACAACAAGCTATTGCTGGAGCTGGTACTGATGCTCGCTTGATTCTATGTGGAGTGTCCAAATGAATTACAATATTATTTTTCTGGTTTTCATTCGATATCTCAATCCTCTCCCTCAGTTCCTCTCTGGTGTTGACTTCAGTCTGATAGACCAATCGTTTCATATGTCTCCATAGATAAAAGTCTAATACTGTGAGATTAGGGGACCTAGAATGAGGGCCGCCACGACCTATCCAGCGAATAGAGAATTGTTTGTCTAGGTATTCTCTCACTTGTATTTAGTAATGTGGAGGTGCCCCATCCTGTTGGGAGTAAATAAATATCAATCCATTTTTATACATCCATCACATCCTTCTTTCGTAGTGTTTTCTGAATAATGAAACCAAACTCACAATTCGCGTGCGATTTCAACTCGCAACACCCTCCTAATTTGAAACCCATCGACCGCTTTCCAAATACAAAAATTCCATAATATAGTAGTCAAAAACAAGCTATTAGGCACTCATAAAGGGTGTTAGTTATTCGATGTCAAATTTGGATATTTTTGATTTTTCGAATCACCTTGTATCAATATCTGAGGAGTTGATATAACTGGTGAAGTGGTCATTGCATGGAGGAACACATCAAATAGATACGGATATAATTGATAGTAACTAATTCGAGGAAATAGTCTCCATACCTAAAAATATTCATTGTCATATCAAATTTTCTTTCCATTTCGCCAAAATCGGTATATTATTATGATCACATTAGGTATCAGAGTATATCTCCTTGCAGTCTATAGAGAGTGTTTGTTTGTCCTTCTATTTGTGTCATATTCGATAGCTCTTTATCAATCGAGACGATTTTCAAAGTTACTCTGTGGTGAGTGTGTGAAAAAAGATTTACTTGAGTAAAAATGGTGAACCCCAACTTCAGTTTTATCGATTTTTAGTTGACCTAGAAACATCTTCCTGTAGAACTTACGATGATGAAACTTCCCATGAAAGTATTTTATATGTTCCTCCATCGAATGATCACCTCACCTGTTATATCACCTCCTCAGTTTTTATTACAAGGTGAATCGAAAACGCTAAAATTCTGAAATATGCCATTGAATAAGTAACAATATAGAAAGTATTGCGTGAAAATCTTGTATGTAGGTATTTCAGCTATGCCTGAATCGAGTAGGCTAGACACTGTTAAATCGCTCACACTGTATATCATCTCACCTTTACTTCCTCTATCTGCCATTAGGCTATGGCTGGTTAGTCATGACTCACCCTCTATAGTAAAAGAATACATCAATTTCGGATAAACCCTGAATAACTAATCGACTACTATTATTCGTCCTTCAATGACTTTTTACATTTTCAGTGAGTATGGTAGTTGGAGTAGTAGTGTTGGGAGTGACGATGGTAGTAGTGATAAAGTGTCGATCGCTGGATGCCCAAATGAACAAAGAAGAGCAGTGTGTCCAACCGATCCCTCTACCGCGTCCACCGGACAGGCTGATGACGTCATCACCGTCTCTGAAACCGGCGTCGATCGACGGCGGCGGCCTGTCGAATTCCAATTCGGCGTCGCTGCCCCAATGCAAGGTGACACAGCTGCCGGTGAACAGGAACACTGAATTGGAATCGCCCTCTCTGCATGCTTGCTACCCTTACGGAGTGGATGAACAGCCGGACGATTGGAGCAGCCTGGATGCGTCAGATGTCCCTACCTGTCCCACCAAAAATATTATGTTACGTAGGAACCAGTATTGGGTTTGAACGTACTAACTTACAGCGAATTCCATTGGTAAAACTACAGCCGGCACTATAACAAGCCGCGGTGAGAGACATGCAACACCGCATCGCCGTGATGCGGAAGGTCTACTCTCGACTGGCTACCACGGCGACATAGGCAACGTTACCGCTAACCGCGCTAACGTAACATCATCAATTTCTGGCTTTGAAATAAATAATTGAACTTTAATAGAAAAATAGCAAGAAATAATGGGTCAGGTCACAGTTCAGGTTTTATTCAGTTTCTTGGATAAAATAAACAACTGGCGGTCACCGTTCAGGTTTTATTCCGTTTCTTGGGTAAAATAAACAACTGGCAAGTCCCATTTTAGACCAATCATTAAGTTCATAAATTGCGAGGCAAGATCTTATTATACACAGTTCTCCATTAGGAAATTTGAAAATTTAAATAATTCTTTTCCGAAGCCTAAATTGACTTACATCCTGTCTCACACAGCAATTATTTGGCATCTTCTTATGAGAAAGGTTGAAATTACTTACTTTGCTGCCAGAAAAAAGAACATAAAACATAACCTGAATTGAAAAACAATTTTTGATGAGACTCACACACAAACACTCTTTCACTTATATGTCGATCATTGATAACACTTCAATTTACTCTTGAAAATTAAAAACAATCACCCTGTTACATACAGAACCCATATATCCTATTTGTGCGAATGGCTGGTGGTAGACCTTTTGACCAATGTTGCCAGACTGTGCTCACCGCGGCATTCCTCACCAAAGATGGCTATGGTAAAACTGGCTCGCACTGAGTGCATAGTCTGTATTCCATTGGTAGAACTGGTGACAGGTTTTGAATTCCATTGGACAACTGCAACAATTCTCGCGTGAGCTCTAATAGATGGTGCAGTTTTGAAAATGGCGGAATCATTTGAAAATTAATAGCATGAAAGGCAATCTTGTCATCATCAAATAGTGATGAATAAATACCACTCTGAAAATACTGCCTACTTGTTAATTCAAAAATATGTTCGCTGTCACTCTTCCGTATTGATAATGTAATCATATTATATATATTCTATCAATAGTTTAAGTTTTAAACAGAAACAACCCAACTTAAACGATCTAACCTCTAAGAATAATTTTATCACCATATTATTTTGTATTCCATTTGGAATGTATATAAAACCGACGTAGTGCAAGTGCAAAACTGGTGTGAAACTAATGCACCACCAGGTTTACGAATGGAATTCGCCATTACTCACTGTCGATATCTCGGTAGTTGGAATGGTCGTTGCACTATTACTGTTGTTGCCTGGACACAATCCTAACACTCCCTCAATCTAATCTTCCTATATTTTCATTTGGAGCGTTGGCCATCATGTAGATTCATATATAGGGCAGGGCGTCCAAATAAATTTGGACTATGATCAATAGGAGGGGCTACTCGGGGTTTCTTAACATGAATATAGAATCCTAAAATATGAATTCTGTAGCTGTGGAACTCGAGAAACTCATCAAAGGGGCGATTTTAGTAAGGTCATATTTTCATATTCTGTTCAGTCGTGAGCTGGCCCATCAGCCCTTTCAGGGATGACTGGGACAACCTGTCTTAATTGTCAGCATCGAAGTGGACATAAAAGTGAACACTCGTCAACCGATGGCGTATTCGTAGGTAGGGATTCAGATGTATGAATAATATCCCATCCCATCACATTATCATATTATCACCTGTTGAATTTTGAATTTCATTCAATTCGCAATAGAAAATAAGCGTACACCACCTATCGGACTTCATGTTTAGTTTGTTTCCATTGGTTCACATTTTTTTTTGTTTGTGCTTATTGGTCATACCATTGTCTGCTAAATATGGAGAAAAAATCTAGTGAGCTGGAGTATGTGGTCTGCCCAAACAAGGGAAATCACCTACAGGGTTCTGTGGCCGATACAGTAGTGCCGCCATATGGTCAACTTGAGGAAACACTCATTCCTATTGTTTTCCTGTCAAACCTACATAACCTTGTAAATCGTAAATGAGTTGAGCCTCACTCAGCGGTGCTCGCGGCAGTCTCGGCCGGCGGCGTAGTTTGTTCAGTGAGTTTGAGTTCATTCACGGCTCACGGTCACTCAGTCACTCAACAATTCAAAAATAGTTCATGCAGATATTATTTGGAGATATGATAGATAATATGTAAAGACCGAGCCCCCTTACTGGCCTACTGGCCCTTACAGCCCTGGACGAAATACGGAATTCTGTGCATATTGATCAGGGCTCTGATTTTCTTACTTGTAATGATCCTGTAACACTCAATATCGAATATATCCACTAATTTCGCAAAGAAATATAACTTGAAAATCCATGAATGGAGATGGTTTCACAATTTCTGGTAGGAACAATAAGAGGAGACAGGGTTTGTTACACATTGATAATCAGAATAACCAACTGGGAGCACAACACACAACTATATCTATAAACGAAAGGAATATTAGAACAATGAGAATTGAAGAAGAATGATATTTTAGAAAAAAATACAAAACAAGTCACGATGGTATGACAGTTCTTGACACTGACAACCAGTGACAACTTACATAACCACAAATTACGAAAATTTACTAGAAAAAAGTGACGATCATTTCGTACGATACGGTAACATCCTCTAGTGGTCCGACACTCAACTGAGCTATAGGGAAGACCAGAAGTTCCAGCTCACTAGATTTTTTCTCCATATTTAGCAGACAATGGGTCATACCATCAAAACAAACCGCTCAGAAGTGTTCTAGTTGTTGCCGTTAGATGGGGCGACGTGTTATTTTCTATCGCGAATTGACCTATCCAAGATGCTGTCAAACCACCTAAATCAATATGGCCGACTGTAGGCACACATACTTTCGTGTCGCAATATCTTTGTTATAGCGGTCCAAGGATAATAAATATCCACTTTTATTCAAAACAACCATTATTATTATTTGATATATCTACCAAAGATTATACTGCTGCTACGTAAATCAACAAAAAATACTTGTGTGCCTACAGGCGGCCATTAGAAATTTGTCAAAAGTCACGTGTTCTGGAATGCCTAATTGAATTTTTCGAATAACCTGATTCTGATGAACATTGAGTAATATTGGATTTTAAAAAGTGACATTGCAGGGAGGAAGTCTTGTCTCGCGTTTCTATAAGAATCAATATGGAATTTCGTTCATGGTCAAGATGAAATCTGACGAAACATCTACTTTTCGATTCCACTTCAGAGTATGTATTCCTGAAATAAAAACAGAAAATATTGCTAACATAGCCGCCCCAGTGGTCTAGAGAAAAATGAAATTATCAAGCAGAACATTCTCCATGGTATCTACTATTTTTTTAACTCTTAATGTAAACATTTCAAACCTTCGTGAATCCCTAGACTGAAATCCTGTATACGCCGTCGGTAACAATGTATTTTTTCCAAGAAACCTCTTATCCAATCATATTATGTTGATGTCATTGCAGAATGTGCAGGGTAGTATCATTTGGCAGAATTTCTGATTTTCTGTGCCAATCTTAGTTCTTGATAAATGTATGAATTCGTGTGATCTTCAGTAAACTGTTTTTAGCAATACTACCACTCGAGCCAGCAACTAGAGCGTGGTAAGTTTCGATTTGTTATTGCTAGAAATTTATATATTTGATTGCTATCATCTCTTGGCTGGCTGAGAAGGAAAGTTAATGATTCTTATTATTGATAGTGCAGTCAAAATTACATTACTGATTTTTGTTCAAATTATTGAATGGAATTTAAATAAAAAAACAGCAAAAAATCATAATAGGCAATTTATTTTCATAATTATGGCCACATTATTTCAACTCTAAATAACACATGTCATTTTTTCTTCAAACATACAAAATTAAAATCAAAACCTTTTGAATTGGGATGAGTATAGGTATTTTTATTCTAATGAAAATATGAAATCATATTGTTATTGTCAACTCTCACTTAGTTCACCGCAACAGCTAACCTACTCTCAAAAAATCAGAAGTATATTTACTCACAAAAGAACAATTCTAGAGTTTCTGATGGACGGTTCTTCAAGATATGAAATGTCAACATTTCTTGTTGTTTGAAGAAAATATGTCTTGCTACATATCAATTAATTGTAGAGTCCTTTCAACAATCGAACACTTTATAATCGTATGATACAATTTACAAGACAAAGATCCCTTGGTGAGGCTTCACATATTTGATTTCTACAAGTTTTCCTCGAAAGCAACGAAAATTAGTTGAACATGTGCCTGATTCTAATGTAGTATTAGCCATTTTTCAATGTTAACTAAATGTGCCAAAAGTATGCATTATCAATGGTATTTTGCACATACTGAAAACCATTCTTAAAATCAAAGTAGTGTAATTTTGTACCGATGTTGGTGAAATTTGACTTTTAGGCTATAGAAATATAATAAGCGTATGTTTTGGTAATAAAAAGACACTATTTGAAAAACTTGCATATATTGGGAATCCTCAAAGTATCCGAGAAGGAATTACACATTTTCATTTTGAAGGATATGGGAGAGAAATACATTCAATTTATCAATCTGAGAGAATGATTGATTTGATGATGAAGACATTTTCAAACCAAATGTTTGGTGATACACTAAAATATCACGATTTTTCTCCTTACGGCCAATATAGCATGAATCAAATACAGAGAGAATGTCCGTCGGACATCTTCAAGAAGTTGGTAAGTAAAACACCAAATGAAATCACAGGTTCTACAATCCTCCATTTTTATTGCATCTGAAATGCAATTGAGTTTTCAAAAAAAATCGATCAACTTTTGTGGAGATCGTTCAATCGATAATGGCACTCTTCACTGTAACCAGAATCTTTGTTATTGAAAGGAGGCCTCGCCTTTATTCCAATTGTTGTCAAACGTTTCCTTGGATCATCACACAGCATATGTTTCAGTAGATTATACTGAAAATCAACCAGAAGTCAATGATTTCAAATAATTAATAAACCTGGTGAGAACAAACTTGAATAACAAATGTAATTTGGAATTTCAGAAACTAGAAAAGATTATTTCTTGAAGTAACTAATCCAAAATATTATTAGTTTAGGGTTTATTCAATCTGTGTGGTAGGACTATTGTAATATTGAAGTTTGAATTGTCAACAGAGTTCAATGATGGGATATTCTGTCCATTCAATAGACCTTTGATACAATGTGCTTACCTCATTTGGATAACATTCGTCAAAATTGTCAGGAAATATATTGTATTTCACATTGGTCAACATTTTAATCCGTTCCATTTCCGTGGAAAATGGCACAAGCATCTCAAAAAATATCAGTCCCAACGAATAAATGTCCACTTTGTAGTCATAAATTCGACTTTTGAATTGTTCAGGACTCATATACAAATGAGTACCTGAAACCAACCAAAATTGGTGCAGTCATTGACATAATTTTATATAATTCACTCACAATTATTTCAAATAAATAAATCATCACCGATCGGGAATTTAACACTTTGCTATATGCTATTAACTCAATACTATATTTGAAAACTTTTACCTCATTTATGAAAACAGAAAAAAAAGAGCAGCATTATTTCAATCTTATAGGAATAAATCATACAGATTTCAGCATAATAACTCACCCACTTCAACTGTATGCCCACGATATGATGATGATGATCCCTTTTTCATCTGTTCCATATCAAAAGCATCTTCCATATCTTTAACCAGACCAAAATCGCCTACTTTGATCTGTCCTTCCAGAGAGAAAAATATATTGCTTGGCTAAAAACAAAATTTTTCAACATCCTGATATTATTTCGAATCCCATATCGAATGGGGCTGTACACTATAGTCTAATTTCCATCTCGAAAATATTTTGGAAAAGGTGTTTCAATTTGTTTCCAGAAAATCGCAGAACTCTACTTTGTGAACCACAAGTGAGGTGAGTTATGGGGCGCTAAAGTATAGGATTGGCAAGGTATTGTCTGATGTTGATTGTTACTAGAAAGTCCCTAGATTATTGGATTTGAGTTGACCCAATGGAATATTGGGCAGTTGAGATGACAGACAAAAATGTCAGCATACTCAACATACATTTAAAAGAGGGCCACCGTCATAATTTCCTTATTTATGAAGCGATTTTCACGTTTTTTTTTTTCGAAATGTAGAGGGGGAACGGTGTATTCTGGAGCTTAGCGGAGTCCACTTTTATTGAAAACCAAGGTCTAGATCACGTTTTGGGGCGATTCTTTTATGTTCAATGAATTTAGTGGTTCATATTATCCATTATAAAAAGTGAGAAAGCCATGGAGAAAACGACTTATGTTTGGGTTGATACTCTTGAATGATGAAATAAGAACTTTGCATCAAAGATTCCCAATTAGAAATACCAATTTCTACTTAGGCCATACCTTCAAATCCCTGTGGATGAGTCCTCTCAAATGGACATATTCAACAGCTTCCAGTATCTGGGAGAATATTTGTAAAATTACTTTGAACTCTCTGTCAAGATTATGGGCGAGCCAATCTTTTAAACTCTCTTTCTGGCACAGTTGCATCTGTATGTACAAAAAAATGGGGGGATTATTTCGATCCAAAGCTTTCACACAATCATTTTGCGTCAAGTCCCATGAGTGATGTTTTCTTCCTGGTCTCTTCCAGTCAATTTTTTTCTTCAAGTGGTCGGACGGACCGTCAAAAGTGCCACGGCCAGTAGAATCAATCCTCTCGGTTGGCGTATTCCTCGTGTTTTCAGAATCAGAGTCTGTAGGGTTCTCAAAGACAATGTATGAATCATCGTCGACATTCTTGTTGTCCACGCCATCATCAAACATGTCAGGCACTTTTTCGGCGAATCTGATAGGTGTCGATGGGGTAGGAAAATCCACACCTATCGACACAGACTTGCTCCGTTGTTTCATTTTTTCATTGGTCGTTGAAGAAAAAGAAATATCCCGGTTCTCGAACTGCTTGTCTCTGAAACTGATTGATTACAGTATGTCACATATGGAAATTTGAAAATAAATACCCAATCCACTTTCCATCATATTCCTGCTGCCATCCCAATGGAGGATGTTCGACCCAAGAGCAAAAGTATCTCACAATGTTTTTATGTTCCAGTTTAGCTAGAGCTTTCACTTCCCTCATAACTCTTTCTCTAGACTTGGTCCTGTCAATAAATTGAAAGTCAACTCAAACTTGAAGCTTATTTCGATTTTATCTTACTCATTGGGTAGCGTGATTCTCTTTATAGCATAATAGCACTCGTCAATTTTCTGTTTGACTTCGAATACCACGCCAAATCCACCTTTGCCGAGACATCTCAATGTGTCGAAGTCGTTTGTGTATCGTGAGACAAACATTTCACCTTCTTTCTCAGATATTCTCCTTTCTGTGAACTGTCGAGCAGCTTCTACCGCTTTTTCAATCAAGATTATTTCTCTTTTGTGTCTCTGCTGATGATAAACTTGAAATAGAACGCGAAAAATTATTACGGTGATCAACATGAGAGCTACCTCACGCCACCACCAAAACAAAATATATATTCCAGTGGGAGGATCTGTTTCATATGTTGTCCAATTATCTGGCTCATTGACAGTGCTGTGATTTGATGCACACAGCAGGGGATCTTGTTGGTTCTGATCAGATTCTGTATACAGATAAAAGCCGAGTCCTGAAATCATAAATATTTCTAATGTATGTAAGTAACCATTATGGTTGAATTGATCGCTCCTCATACCATTCACATATTCTGATGCGTTCAAAACAGACAATGCAGTGGAATCATCTTCAGTAGTCTCCGTAGAAGCAGGAATTGGTTTCCAAGGTATTTTAGCGATACTCGTACTTTCTGTGACTTCTACTTCAGAACCTGTTATGCCACGTAAGCCGTTTCGTTTGTAGTAGGCAGATTCATGAATGTATAACTTGAAATGCAAGTCAGATGACTTGATAAAAATCAACAACTAATTGCATATACCTGGGCATTTGTACTAATTTTGAGATAATTTTACCTGTTTATTGTGCATTCCAATATAAATAGAAGGCCATGACAAACCGGATGAGACAACTCCTGGTACATTTTCCACTGCAAAAAGGTCAATTTCTGAGATATTTTTTCCATTCCATTTCCAAACTCTCACAATGGGAGAAGGGAATATGTGAGTCCAACTGTCTTCCATATTTTCATGTCTTATGGATGCTCTGAGTTTTCCTTCAGGTAACACAGCCGTCAAGTTCCAATCATAGGACTGCATATACGGATTTATACAACTGATTTTAGGCAGCTTGATGTTGTGTAATCCCACACTGAAGTTCCATCTTTAATAAAAATAGAAAATAAATGGTAGTTTAAAGAAATAAATAAACACCTTTTTATAGTCAAACCAAAAAAGAGGTAGAAAATAAAATAATGAAAGTGTGTTGATGAATACCATAAAAGGGTGTTTGTTTAGTTTTACAAACTACAATTTATTTTTTATTTCTTCGTTCGGCTAACTACAAAACCGTGTTTTTCAATGTGCTTATATTTTTTATCACTACCCAATTTTGACGAACGAATCATAATCTCTTACCCCGAAAACACCCAGGAACAAATTTTTAATAGAATCGAATCATAATATTACAAAACTCATCCGCCATATTGGATCCGCCATGTTTAATTTAGCAATTTTGACGAAAGAATCTCAATATCCGACCCCGAAAACCCCCAGATACCAATTTGGAATAGGATCGGATCACGATTACAAAACTCGTTCGCCAATTGGATCAGCCATCTTGAATTTACCAATTTTGAGGAAACAACCATAATCTCCGATCTCGAAAACCCCCAGATACCAATGTTGAATAGAATCGGATCATAATCACAAAACTCGTCCGCCATTTTGGAGCCGCCATGTTGTTTTTTGTCTAACAAAAATGTTATGATGCATTGTCATCAGAATTATGTACACCTGCCAAATTTCAAAACAATCGGTCCGTTTCAAGTGGTTCAAAATCGAGTCCAATAGAGTCGGTTACATATAATATATGTAATATATTATACAGGTGAAGCTAATACCTATGAATGTTAAAAAAATATTCATGATGTATGGAAACTCATGTTGGTTAGGTTCAGTCATTATCATCTGATCTGATTTGATCGCATACCTCATCCCTCATGAGATCGACTGTGCAGAAACAGATTGAGACATCCGCCATATTCATATTGTTTGCTAAATGATAGATTCCCTTCCATTTATATGTCCTTCCACCCCCACTAATTTTTCACAAGGTAAATTTAAAGTTATTTAACCCATCTGCATTTAGTAATCAGCAGTGTCTCTCATTCCTTCTACGACTTTGAAATCATTTCCTATCATCATTGCGTCTTCCTACCCTAGCATTAGTTTGCATGTTGGCGGTTTCAAGAATAAAAGTTCCATTCCATCTATACATATACATACCTATTTTATTATTGATGTGCCTATATCACCTATCATTGATTTTATGTATTGATATGTTGACCTCATCTAGGAATATACTACTTCGAGAACAATCAACTATTTATATTTTACCTTTCATGGCCTGTTCTTGGTTCTACTGCTCGTATGGTATGCGTGCTCCTTTCGATCAACAGCACATCGTCAACTACTTCTCCTTCGTCTCTATTGGAGCATTTTAATGAAGTACACTCATAAATTAGAGTTCCAGAATGAAACCCAACTCCATATGTTCTTATTTCAATTCCACCTAGTATAAATTTCAGAATGATTGTTATTCGGAGCACTAAACATTTTCATTTTTTTTTATTTGATCAATAATTCATCCCAACTAGAAGTAGGAAAAAAATACAATATACACTGTGACCCGTTTGAAGTGATATGGATGACGCCTAATCCACAGAACTGCCTCAGATTCAAGAATCTACCTGTATGGGAGAAATAAAAGGTTTATGGCTTATAAGAGGTGGCTAATGGGCTTCAAGGAAATATATACCTATCAATATTTTGTTTCTTACAAATGTAGAAAACTATTATGTGGTTTGTCATAAAAAAAGATCTAGTAGATGTGACTGTTTTTTCGTTTTTTGTTTATTCATGGTGAGTGCTATTTTGTACAAAGCATGGGCATGTTCCGATATTGCTGACATTACTGGCCACAGTAAGCAATTTAGGGGCACTAAACAGTAGCAGTAACTCTGAATTTTCATTTCATTTCGGAACAATTTTTGCGGAAAACGCTTAGATAATTCAACACAGTCCACACCATCTTCCCTACATTTCTGCTGGTATACTGATGGTATTAATAATGATATTTTTTGTTGTCCGAATGATCCAAATATGATTTGTGTATTGTAATGACATAGTGGTTTCACGGGTTTTTGTGTGTTTTCCTCATGAATTATATTGAGAATATCATAATTTCCAAAATAAGTAGATGCACCACAATTTATTTTCCAACGAAATGAAATCAATTGATCGAATTTCTATTTCATTTCACCAATTTATAGGAATTGAAAAACATTCAAAACGATTAGATAACCTCAAAATTGAATTCGAAGATTTTATCGTGACGGTTTATACAGGAAATAAGATAAGATAAGAATTAGAATAAAATAAAATAAGGAATAAGGATATTGGTGTACCGTTTATACAGATAAATAAAATAAGAAATAAGAATAAACCAATCATTGTGCATTATTTTGACAATGACTTATGTCAATCGTCAATGTCAATTGGGAAGAATTTGTTTTTTTGTGCAGACCGGTGAACCGCGAAGATCTTATCCACTTCATCAAACATTTTATTAACGTGTTTTGAATGCTTCGATTTGAAATACAATATACAACCATCAGCGTACAAAACAAAACAGAATTTGAGGTTATATGACAAGTGTCATTTTTAAATGGGCATCCGATTGAAATTGCACATGCGCACATCGATTTTCGAATAAAATAAAATAAAAAGTTGGTCAACTCTTATTTTAATTCCTTTTTTCTTATTTTATCTTAGTTCATGTATAAACGTTTCCATTATAATACGTATGTTGAACTTTCTTATCTTATTCCCTGTATAAACCCACTGGCTGATCAGTTTTATTAAACAAAATTAATTCATGACATAATTGTGTATTGGTAGAAAAATAAATCATTTTTAATCTCAATATCTGTGATTATTTGTTGATGTTGTTATATTTATAATAAATCATTCTTCACACTACACTGTTTTACCACTAACCAAACCGATTTTTTAACGCCTCGACACGTGTTTCGACAGCTATGTTAGCATCTTCAGGAGAAGGTTAAAACAGTTTTTACATACATTAGAAGTTTTAATCTTCTCCTGAAGTTGCTAACATAGATAGCGAAACACGTGTCGAGGCGTTAAAAAATCGGTTTGGTTAGTGGTAAAACTGTGTAGTGTATTATCGTGCCAAAGGTTCCAGTCTTCGATATACATAAATCATTCTTCATGTTATTATTCTTCATAAGAATTTCATTATGATAAAATTTCATATTCAGTATATTGTTTAGGTGAATGGTTCAATAAATACAAATATTGAAGTTCATTTATCAACTTCGAGTGCTGATTTTGAAACATAAATGGACGGCTTTTGAGTTGGTTCCAAAAAACATTATAACATCCGATGATCCTAGCATTAGACATATCCATATTCGGGCGGTTGGTCATTCAGTAATTTCCTTTCAACTGGCAACACTGTATGTGTTGACATATTGACGTCACTATCAACCCAGGGTGAAAGCCCAGTACTGTTCCAGGAATATTGAAAAATCCTCCATATCATGAATTTGAATTGAATTAACTTATGAAAAAAAAAATTATTAGAATGTTACTTACCTGCTATCACAAGATCATCAGAATAACGAAAAGATGCTTTGAGGAGTTTTTCAACAGTTATTGGTATTGGATCTACAGTCACTCCATCAAACTTATATAAGGTTCCTGAAAGTGAAGGAATTATCCTGACCCATTCACCAATATTAGTTAGCTGAAATGATCAGAGGAGAATGAGAGAATGAGGAAAATATGTTTTTTCACATTTTGTATCATTTACCTCCAGTTTATGTATGTTGGACATCAACAAAGGACCAGGTCCTGTATCTGTTACCCAAACTAGAGATCCAGTGGAATTTAAAACTGATACTTTCCCATCTAAGGTGCTGACAATTGCCAAACTGTAATACTGGTAAATATGAAATATTCATAAACCTACAGGTTATTGGAAAAGATTGAACATTCTATGGGCCATTTCTTGGGTAACCTATTCTGATAAAATGGATGGATGGCGCCTAATCAACAGAACTGTCACTGGTAAAAGAATCTACCCTCGAATCTACCTGTATGGAAGAGATAGCAGGTACCTATGTATGAACATGATTGGGATGTGGCAAATAAGTTTGGGGTTAGGAAATAACTTACACAAGTTTTCACCAATTGCCATTCTGATCATAGGAGAGTTGAAAATTAGACACACACAAAATCACAGAGTGATTTGTCTCTCTCTCTCATTACCTCACTACAAAAGTGTTAACCGCTAGTGGTATCAAGGAGCTTTTTCAAGTAGTTATCTACTTATAGTACCTATGATAGGAGTTATGATGGGTCAGAGAGTGGTAGCAGGTAGTAGGTACCCAGGAACCATGAAGGAAATAGCAGACGAGCTTGTTAGAATCAGTTCATATACACTTTTTCTTGTTCTTCTAAGAGTTATAGCGCCGTTGAGGGGAAAGAGTCAAGGGTCAAAAAAAGTAATAGTGGTTCAACCTGTAGATACAACCTCGTATTTTTTTCATCACCCTGTGATTCGGGAATCTCAGTATCCTTGATTATATCATATATCAAGTATGCATTATTGAATGACATTATACCTTATATAGGAAAAATAAAAACCTTACACATACCCTGGTTCTCTTTCATCAGGACAATATGGTAAAGAAGGAATATCTATACTGTTCACTATGAAACCATGTAAAAAAACAGCAGTAATTAAAAAAAGCCACATAATCGACGAAGAATTTGATAACCTAACATAATATCAAATGGATTTATGCACACTGCTTTTTCTTTTCAGTAATCTGTTGTCTGTTGCTCTCATTAACTGTTAAGTTTATATTTATTTAAGGACTATGATACTTTTCTTCTTCTTCTTTTAATTTTATACTCTTCATCTTGATGAAAACATAGTCCTCAGGGTACTTAGCCCGGTAAAAATATTTGTGTTACAACATTCAGTGATCACATAATTACGAAATCTGTGATTACGATATGAATCATCCATTTTGTTTTCAAAGTAAATTTGAACAAACGACTTGAATTTCCAAAATTTTCAACCACATTTTGAGAAAGAAGAGGAAGAGACTGTTTAAATATATCTAAACACACTCTAACCTCACCTCATTTCTTACATTTATAATTTATAAGAATTTTGAAACATAAATTAAAAGAAAAAAATAAAATGGCAGAGCAAATTGTAGATATTACTCCAGAAAACGTCGATATTGTCTGGATAGACGATAAACCATATATTTTGAATAATGAAGTGTGCGTTAAAAATAAATCAGGTATGTAATTAGCGTTTTATCAGCAGCAAACTATTGCAAAAACACAATTTTTGCCATACATTCGATCCAATGTATATTAAAAAGTAAAAAGGCACTCCATAAAAATCTGTTATTTTTGCTACACATTGCGGCAATGTATTGCAAAAATTGGCATTTTCACAATACATTGCCACAATGTGTTGCAAAAATGAAACGTTTTTACGATACATTGCCGCAATGTGTTGCAAAAATGAAACGTTTTTACAATCCACCAACTTGCAATGTATGGTAAAAACGATGTTGAGATACACTAAAAGCAATGTATTCTAAAAATATAGTTTCAGCCATACATTGATATCAATGTACCTATTGCAAAAACTGATTTATACCATACATTAACTAGCAATGTATTGTAAAAACAAACATTCATGTATTGAAATAATTGACATAGCAAAATTCATCAAATGCAATAACCCATTTATTCAAAATATTAAGCCTCATGTATTGTGAGTAAAAACATGGTAAAAACTAAAAAGATAAATAAAGCTCCAGAAGAAAAAGATAATGACTTATTCTTTTTTTTTTTGGCCTTTGGACCTCTATAGCAGAGAGTCCAAAGTTTGAAATAATCACTGACTTGTGACTTCATCTACGATCTACCTTGAAGCCGTTGAACGAGAAACGGGTACTTATTGAGATTATTGAGAACTGTTGAAGATGGTCGTACATCATACCATTCCTCTAATATTTTTATTCGCATTTTATCAAAGGTAAGATTAAAACTGTTAGTTTTCTCTTCACACCCTGACCTTTAGTTATTATATAAAACTGCCAAAATGGTGAGGTGAGTTTACCATCACATTCATTTACCTTTACCTAGAACATTCATAGAACAAATCCACCTTTCTAATTTCTTAGAACACTACTCATTTAGAAGCTATATATACCTATTTCAATTTGTACAAGAAGAATAACTCATTTCCATACCAAGGGGCAAACAGCTCATGGAATACCTCTGTAATTGTAAAATGTTGCAAATGTCCCTCACTTTTACCTATCAGTACCAGTACTCTAAAATGTTTAAATACAGATTCAAATACCTTTTTCATTTTATACATTCTCGGAATTTTGATAAATCTTTTTCAGTATATATATATATAGGGGTTCGTTCAGTTGTTTTTGACTTTTGACATCTGGACATCAAGAGCACAGAACTCAAAAATATTCTGCATTCTATGATTTAAGATAAGTACTATAAGTAGAGAAGAACAAAAAGATAATCGAAACTAGATCCAAACCTGAAAATCAATCTGTTGCAAAAACTCATTTTTGCAATACATTAAGCCTCATGTATTGTAAATGTATTGTAAAAACAATAGATAAAGACTAAAGTTATCGCAAAAATGTATCTCATCTACTGTCATGAAATTTTATGTATTGCGAAAATTGCTTTTTTACAATACTATGCTTTCAATGTAGCGCAGAGATTATCGGTTTTTACGATAGGTGTTGCTACAATACATGCATCCTAGTTTCGGAGAAACATGAACTCCATTATTTGTATTAAAAAGTAAAAAAGACCTCCATAGAAGTTGGTCCCGCTTTGCACAGCTGTCTTCAACTATCTTTGAGGACAGCTATGATTCATATATGAGCAAACGAATTGTATATGAGTAGTATAGGTATATATGTATAATAGGTATATATTTGTTTATTTTATGTCCAATAAAGTTTATTTTCTTCTTTTTCTTCTTCCTCTATTGTATTGTTGAAGGCTATATGTTCTTTGATGCTTTCAATAGGACCAGCTGACCAAAAAGTTAGTACATCTAACTAGCGAGATGTATTATAATGATAGTGTGCACTGGGAAGCGGTCTCCAAAGGAATCATAGCAACTCTGGTCCTTATGGCAAAGTTATTGGTTCATTGAGAATTGTGATTAGAGCTACGCCTAATGCTGTTAGACCAGCTCTAAAGATTTTCTGTTTTGCTGTTAAACACCCTGTATAGTTCTTCGACTTGAGTGCAAAACGGGCAAAACGGTCCATGAAACAATAATATTATACTGATGATGACGTTCAATTTATCGAGCTCATTAGCGACAATAACGTCACGAAAAGTCAATAAAAGTGAAAAAAAAACTTTTTAATAAAAAGCTTTTATTTAAACGCTCTAAAAAGAAGAAAATAAAATTTTTCTTAATAATTTTAACTATCAACTTATAACCTCATTATACACAATTTATATGATCATAAAAGCTTGTCATCGCGCGATTCACTTGTGTGAATGAACTAGTATTTAATTATGTAAAATCTGCTGAGATAAAATTTTTAAAATTAAATATTGATCATCGCGCGAGCTTTTATGATCATATAAATTGTGTATAATGAGGTTATAAGTTGATAGTTAAAATTATCAAGAAACATTTTATTTTCTTCTTTTCAGAGCGTTCAAATATATATAAAAGCTTTTCATTAAAAAGTTCTTTTTTTACTTTTAATTTATTTTTTAATTTTTAGTTATCGCTAGCTGGTTTTTTCGATTGACTCGCAACGAGCCTTTTCATTTGATACCCATATATAATATATTGTAAAAGTATATTGAAAATGACCATTGGACCAATGGATTTAGAATGACGTTACATCATTTTTCGAGTTACTCTCAACGAGCCTTTTCATTTGATACCCATATTGTAGAAGTATATAATTATTAAAAATAGCTATTCCGCCATCTTGGATGATCCGCCATATTGGATTTAGAATAACGTGACACACCTTATCGTGCATTGTCATCCAAACTGAACGTGTATACAAAATTTCAGCTCAATCGGTTGAAGATTTCTACTTCAAAATTGAGTTCAAAGATTCCACCCGAACATATACGTACATACAAACATATACAATGCAAGTTAAATAAAAGCTTTTAATTAAAAAAAATAGACTGATTGGCTAGTGGTGAAACGGTGGAATAGAAATAAATTAGAAAATCAATTGCTAATAAATGAGGAAATTAAAAAATGTATCACTATGTATTTTGAAAAATTAGCTATCAATGCTCTAGTCATATTTATACCTCCTTCGCATATACGAAAAGTTATAATTGATGTTGGGATGCATATAATATCTATATGTATAATAGTATAAACACAGTCGCAGAGAACTTCCTGAAAATATACTGATAAGAAATTAATGATGAGCAGTATGACGATCTAAGTGTATTCCTAGGGCGTGGAAAATAGAAAGAGATGTCCCGTTACGTTAGAATTCAGAATTAACGCACCCCCTGCCTCGTAGTATTTAGAAATTTAACGTGAAGAATTCAAGTCACAATATCTTCGTCTCATCAAATTAGAGCAGTGCGCGCACAGATCGGGAGATGAAAATTATTTGAACACGCATTTCTACACATCACCTCTATTCATTGAGGTAAATTGGGTTCAATTATTTCAGTAACAATTCATTAGTCAAATGACCAACATGGGTTCTGATATAAAACAAATGTATGTGGATCTTAATGAACTTTTGGAAGGTGAGTGTTATTGAAGATGAATCGAATGAACCGACTTTAAGTATTGTTCACAAGCGAGGCTATGCATTTTTTTCATTTTTACTCGTTTTATTGTTAATATGCGTATTAAACTATACTGTTTTAATGTACTCCTGAAAATGATATACATAACATAGTCATCATAAGTTAGTGAAACACGTGTTGAGACGTTGAAAATAATATTGGTTCGGTTGGTGATACAACAGTTGTGTATGGTGTGCTATTCAGGGTGTTTCTCAATATATGCGCAGGACTTCATCAGGATGTGATAGTTGGTCCAAACCTATGGAACAAAGTTTCTATTAACTTACACTCTAAAATGCCCCATAATCGAAATACAGTAAACAGCTTTTGTACCATTTTCTACTCATAATGAGCTATGTTTGGTGCCAATTTGGTGAAGATTTTGTAGGAGTAGTGGGTGTTTTTCTCCCCAACTTTCAAGCCACTAGAAAAAGTACAGTTTCGAGTCGCCCATTCAAGCTACAAATGTGTTCTACAAAAGTACTCTTGGTCATAAGCTTTGAAGTTGACCGTTTTCGAAAAAAAAAACAACTTTTATGCTGGAAAACATGGTCAAATTTTTTGAATATTTTTTTTTGCTGCGTGCATTGAAGCTAAAACGGCGGAGATTTCCAACAATTAATTCAACTGAGGAATTGTTGTATGTATGATTGTTTTTTTTTCAATTTTTGCAATTATGAAGTTGATGTTTAGATTTGATACTTGTTCTAACGTTTGAATAAATTTTGTTTAATGAGTAAAATAAAATTTATTTCAAAAAATCCACCATGTTTCTCAACATAAAAGTTGATTTGTCTCGAAAACGGTCAAGAGCATATCACCAAGCGAGTACTTTTTTTGTGCACCAAACATTGGCGGTTCGAATGAGCGGCTTTTTCCAGTGGCGGAGAAGTTGGGGAGAAAAACATCCATTACCTCTTCAAAATCTTCACATAAAAAACAAAAAATCCGCGAAACAAGCTTATTATGAGTAAAAAATGCTTACTGACAGAAGCTGTTTTCTGTGCGATGCACACGGTTCCAGAGATATAAAAAAAAACGATTTTTTTAAAATTTATACACCCTCTATCTCGAATATTGCATTTTAGGGATTAGATAAGTTGATTGAATTTCTTTTTCATATTTTTGGACGAGCTATCATATCCTTACAGGGTGGCCATTAGAACGTTAACTACATTTTCGAGGGGGACATCGTTTCTAAAATATTTTCAAAGCTGCGTCATTTCTATAGAAAAGTTGCAACAACTTTTTTTATTCCAAATAGAGTAAGTATCCTGTATTTCACTGCATTTTTAGGTGATCAGAATTCTGAATCTTGAAACATCCTGTATTTATTCCAATTAAATGTCAGTAGATAGTAAATCAAAAGTTAGGATAGGGATGTGCATGTGAGCCGTTTTGACCAATAAATAATGAATATTTTCAACACAAAAAAATCCTAAAGTTGAAAAATGTCGATTTTGAACACCCTATATCTCTGAAATAATTCCCACTAGACCCCAAGTGTGATACATTGATTAAATCAGCTTTTCAGGAAAAATTTGAAAATGCAAAGAAATACAGCGTATTCCATTTGAAATAACAAAGTTGTTGCTACATTCCAAAAAGCGGCAACGCCACAGCGCTGAGAATATTTCAGAATGATGTCTCACTCGAAAATGCAGTTGACGTCTTCCAATGTATATCTATAAGCAGATATTTTTGAAGTGATAACTTCCATAGGCCCGTTGGGCACATTCTGGGATGAGAATAAAACGGCAAACTCGCGTCACGGGTGCCGCGTACCATAAGACCGGCATAACCATAAGTGCATACGCATATAGAAGTTATCACTTCCGACGTGTGGTCCCATACGCATAACAGTTTTTTTTTTAGATATTTGTCAATTTTTGTCTGAAGATAAATTAAAAAAATTGTCACCAAAAGATCAGAACCTTGCAGAATCGCTCATCAATAGATCGAAAATACAACTACAAGAGATAGCTAAGATTCAATCAAATGAAGAGTACATGGTCATGGACAAGAAAGGTTAGTGAATATATCACTGTATATGCGTTATATTATAATTTCATTTTTGAGTAACATTCTCGGAATCACATCAGAGGGCGTTTCCGAAATTGGATCGATCAATAAAATTGTGTGTTGTGGGGCATCATTGTTTTATATTTTTTTCTGTTTCCCTTTCGAACCTGATTCAAATGATAAAAAATATCAACTGTTGTATTTCTGTACTGTATATGTAACATATACAGGGTGAGTCATGACTATAACCACATAAATATGTGAAAAAATATATTTTGCCTATTCGTAACAGAAATACAGGGCATTATTTGAATTCGGGGCGAAACTTTGATGAACCACAATCATTTCAGGAACGTACTCACCTGAAATTTACCAACAACTTAATATTTCGACTGACACACCACACGACGGCCTACTATGGAAGAAAAATTCCAGATCCGGACTTGGAATACAAAACAAAAATGTGTTTTTTCGCTTTGTTTTTCTTTCAATTATCCACTGCATTTATAATATGGTTCCAATTTCGGAAACAAACCTGGAAGGTATATTCCTGGACAGAAATGAATACAGATTGATATTTTGATCACTTCTGGGTAAAGTTGCAAAAGGTACAGTGAACATGGTAGGAGAATCTGAAGAGGGAAAAAAACCTATTATATCGCATTGTGACGTTTTTTTCCACAGCGTGTTCAGAAAATTAGGATAAAATGCAATAAATTTCGGGTTGACCCTGAATAAGTATCAAATTCATAAGAAGTTCATGCAAAATTAACATCAAAAAATTGATAGGAGGATTTGAGATTTGAAAACTTTTTAGGTTACTGAATTCAAAGAAAATTTCATTTCAATTGTTTTGTGCGTATATACCCATAGGTTAGTACCCACGTACTATGTACCTAATTGTCATTTGCTATTCAAGCAGCATATTTCGATTAAGTTTATTTATGCTCAATTTTAGTAATCAAAATGGACGAAGACAAGATTACTAACTCTGTAGATGACGATTTCAACAGAAACAATGCAGCAGTAATGGTTATGGAAGAAATGAAATATGCATATGTTGGTACGTATAATAATTACTATAATAATTTATGGCTGATTGTACAATCATGTATGTATGGTTACATACATCTTCATATGATTTGATTTTCATATTCTTATTGTCTGTGTTCAATCGATATAATTCAATGTTCGTCGCGACATATAGCCAGGAAAGTAGTTGTTTTCTGTTGAATACACTGGGAAAGAATTAACATTTTTACCAGAAAGAGAATAATATGTGAATTCTAAATGTATCTCTTTACATTATGTAGGTTTTTTACTTTGTTCATGTCCATGATTTATCTAAGAATATTCCTTTTCAATACTTTCATACCCAATCAAGGGGTTCAAACTTGAACGGTGGAAAGTTGGAAACTTTCTTTTACAGACCTCTGATCTCAGAATCATGATCGGGTTTTCTCAATTCAGAATTTCTTTCCACGCCCCGAATGATGAACATCAAGTCATCGTACAATATGAACATAAATTTCAGGGGTAGCTGAAACCACCCTCAAATTTCAGTTCTTAGAACTTTTGAGGCGGGTTGCATGAAATCAAAAGGTAATTTTTAAATTCAATTTTTTTGCTCGAAGTTTGTACCTATTCACAGTATTGACCTTAATTTTCTGAACAAACAATTAAAATGAATTTTTTGCCACAACTGATATCTGCTATTTTATGCCATGAGAGTTTTTACCAGTCGCGAAAAGAAATTCAGTTTGTATATCGTATTTAGGTACAGTTCGTAACGAAGTGTTGCTGCAAACTGGTGAAATTGCCTTATTCAACTATTTCGCTAAATAAAAATACGTTGAAAATACAGGGTGTTAACAAATAAGCGTCACAACGGAAAGATGTAGATTCCTCATGAAAATAGAAACATTTTTTTCCCTTTCGAATTTTTTTCTCTAGGCTTCCGTTTTCAAGATACAAGGCGTCAAAATAGTACAAAAAAATCTGTTTCTTGCTACTATCTTAGGAACCGTTTGAGCTACGGAGTTAAGCCTTCTTACACACATCATCATCAATAATGACTACTTTTAGGGCTCTTGATCAATTTCCTTGGACATGTTCATTCGAGAAGAATTCAACGCCTCCTAAGGGTGTAACCCCCCAAACATTTATGCCACTAGAGAAATCGTAATTTACAAAGTAGATTCTGAAGCGCCAATATCTCTCACACAAAAAACGCCCTCTTGTCTCAATGCTCTAAAGTGAACAGTTTCTGCGAAAAATGGCACTTCATGAATATGAACACACAAAATCCTGATGGTGTCTCCAAAAATCGTCGGAAAATCCACTGGAAATAAACACCTCAGAACTGTCTAAGAATATGTTCGATCAAATGTCAGGTTCTTGAGTGTGCTGGTCTCGATGCTGGTTTTCAAATTGTCAAGTTTATTAAGTGTTGTATAAGTGTGCTTAATTAAACTGAACATTTTTGATTTTTTGAGGCCCTGTATCTTGAAAACGGAAGCCTGGAGAAAAATTTTTGAGAGGAAAGAAATGTTTCTTTTATTATGAGGACGCTACAGATTTCCGTTGTGACACTTATTTGTTAACACCCTGTATGTCGAAATGTATAATTACGTTTTGATTAATGCAACCCTCAGACGTACTAAACTAAAATTTCATCAGTACGCTGGATTCATCTTCTAACCACCTTTCCAATGAGGGTTACAAGCATTAGGGTTATAGTTGAAAAACATGATGGAGCTGAGTCAGCTTCTCCTTATGAGCTGGGGCTCTCATATTGCTTGCAAAATGTAGGTAAATATACAACAAAACAATGACGTGTCTTGCGAATTTTTAAAATTTTTCCTCCACGATAGTGAATTTATTCCAGAAAGTCTTTTCTCCATCCTGTATAAGTATATAAACATATACCTATGAACGTTACTTATATTCAAAGATCTAGAGTGATAAAACGTAGTGTTTCATAAGCTGTGGCGTTATCCCCAAAGCCCGCATAATGATGTGTGAATGGGTTATGCAGGAAATGCGAAAAAATCTTAATGTTCAATTTCGATCAACTTTGGTAGAGGTAAATAAAATGAAAATAAAAACGTCGTTATTTTGCTTAAAAAAATATTCCATATGCAACACTCATTTAACGACGATAAACGAGACACGTATATGTTACAGTTTGATGATTTTGTATACGGGTACGGGTGGCCCATCGGAAACGTTATTCGCAATAGAAAATAAGCTACATATTTGTTCTTTGTTTGTGCATATTGGTCGTATCATCAAAACAAACCGCTCAGAAGTATTCAAGCTGTCGCCGTAAGGTGGGGCAACGCGTTATTTTCTATCGCGAATTGCACCTAACTTTTCTCTGTTTTAATGAAAAACTTCTCGGACAGGTCGATTTTCATTTGGCAAAGGACACATTTTTCTGTAATTATCATATGCCAAAGTTGAAACGTTGAAGCGGAACGAGCATCAACTTTCGATTTTCAAATGGAACACCCTGTCGTATTCCATTCTAGTATTTTTCAACATATACCGTCAAACGGGGTTAAGTGAATAAAAAATGGCGTTTTTGATCGTTTTTTCGAAATGTATTGGGACAAAAATTATACAAAAAATAATAAATACAAGAAGCTCGGCGAAGTCATTTCCACACAATGTTCATGAAATTAACAAAAATGGAAGAAATCGGGAGAAAAACAACTACTTTCCTGGCTAATGCCACGCAGAACATTGAATTACATCCTTCTGATTTCGATTTAGCCAGGTCGACTTGATTTTTGTTCGGATAGGCTACGCTTATAGTCGGCGGTCTTATAGGACTGCTGGCTGGAGACTGCCCTACACTGATGAGAGTCAAAAAGAGCTCGAAACCGGTCTGTAGATGTCTAGCATGGCCTGGCTAAATCGAAATCAATAGGCATTCAGGAAAGAATCACTTCTATCAGTATTCGTTTATACGAGTCGATGCATTGATTTCGGGAGGATGTAATTCAATGTTCTGCGTGGCATTAGACAGGAAAGTAGTTGTTTTTCTCCCGAAATCTACCATTGCTGGTCATTTTTAGGAACATTGTGTGGAGATGACTTTGTGCTTTTTGTATTTATCTAACATTTCATTCCACTTTGAGGATTATGGCTATTTCGTAGTTGACAGAAAATAATGTAGGTCCTGGCACCCTTTTCGAATGGCACAAGTCGAAAATAATGTTATGAAAGTAAGGAAAAGGCTCTTTCATGTTTTGTTGAAAATCTGATTCACTTCATCCACCACTTTGGGATAAAATGAATCGGACATTAAAAACGCATGAAATCTCATTTTAAAATACTCAGAGGGGAGTCGTTAATCTATGCTCAGAGTGAAGTGAATAAAAACACTGTTTTTAATTTGTTGTTGTTGTTGTTGTTATTGTTGCATTCGCATTTTTATAATATATGTATCATAATTCATATTCTTGACATGCAAAAAATTAATCAAATTATTAGAAATTGATATATAATTCATAGTAAAGCAAGATATAACATAAAACATATCCAATCACAAACTATAAACCCCAATTTCATATTTCATAGAAATTAAAATCATTCATTTTACCCAATATAGTGTCACTTCAACGTAAAAAATAATGGTGAAATTTAACTAAAAATCGTTTATAGAGCCTATACTGTGTTCGTGCTACTTTCGTGTCCCTTTAAGCTCGGCGAAATACTTTCCTTCACTTACTTAGTGCTTATTTAGACGTACCATAGATCTAAATACAGACGACGTACTATGGCGAGACGTCGAGACGACTGGGACGCTAAAACGTTTCAATCTTGCAGCTGGAGCAAACAGCGCCCTCTTTTGTACTGAAACACCGGACTGATTCATTTTACCCACTACTTTTCTCCGTCACACTCATGGAGCATGTTGAAAAAACAATCAGCTGAATCTCCGTAACCGTTTTAGAAAACTCCATCAAACTTATTCAAGGTTCCAACTTTGGGACATGAAAATTACAGAAAAATGTGTACCCCGAAAGATAAAAATCGACCTGTTCGAGCGGTTTTTCATTGATTGTATAACAAATCACAACGGAGAAAACTTGGGTGGAACGTTTTCGATATATGCATGGGCAACCCGGTATGATAAACATTTTGAAACAATGAACCCAGAACCCCTAAGGAGTTCCAATACAATTAATTAGTTCCTCAATTTCAGATCTGCCAGCTAAAGAAGCTTCGAAAGAAATCAAATACGGATTCATTTTCATGAAGAGAAAATTTCTATTGGGATTTGAGAAAATGAAGCGAGTATATGCTAGTATGCACAACGGATGGCTCTTAATATATTTCACTGAGAGGGATACAAAACCAATATGTAATTTCAATTTGAGAAATTATGAAGCAAAAGAATGCGATGGCGATAAAACGGACTTCCAGTTAATAAGCACAATGCAAGGGAAAGAAACACATCACGTACGTATGTACCTTCATGTTATTTTCTAGATATAAGAATACCTAGGTAGGTAATTGGATTAACTTGTAGTTACTATAGAAATTGAACGTTTCAATATATAATATAAATATATGGTTCTCTCTTCTCGCTATTCATTTTGGAATGGTTTGAAAATAATCAGGCAATATCATTTTGAGAGTATACAGGGTCCTGCATCTCACCTCCCGTCTTCTATAGCTCAGTTAATTATCAGTTGAGTCAGGATTTTGATAATTTGCATACTTCAATTGTCCAAAGTGAAAAAAAATAAATCTTTTATTTGAACGCTCTAAAGAGAATGAAATAAAATGTTCCTTTATAATTTCAACTATAAACTTATAGACTCACTATACACAATTTATATGATCATGCATAAAAGGAAAAGCTTGTCGCTCGATTTATTTGTGTAAATAAACTAGTACTAATTTAATTTTGTAAAATCTGCTGAGTTGAAATCTTTAAAATTTCAATTTAATCACATATTGATCATCGCGACAAGCTTTTATGATCTATTTATATATATGTTTTATTTCATTCATGATCATTTTATTCCTGTTGAATGTTGAGCTTTAGACATTTTTATTTGTATTTGATGATGTGTCTGTTCGTCGATAGTACCTATGATTGTGTTTTAATATTTGTTTATTTTGACTTTGTCTACAAGATACTCAGCCTCCGACAATAAACTATATTTTGATGTGATTTGATTTGACGAATCATCACAGGGTGTGCAAAATTTAGTGGCAAACTTTTCAAATTTCAAAGCACTATATTTGTCTTATTTCAAATTGGAGCCCCTGTATATTTTCATGTAATTCGATGCGTGAATAAAAAACAAACTTTTTTTCTAATTACAACCCCATCGAAATTTTCATCGTATCAAAAGTTATTTGCCGAAAACCGTTTCATAAGCTATTCTGAGTCATTTGAATTAATAAAATACGAAGGTGGCTTTGAGAAGTAAATTATTGACATTTAATTCGAATGAAGTGTCGATCAGGAGTCTATTTGGGCTTGAGTAGTTCAAATTCAATACACTGTTAGCTCATTATCATACATTTTTTTAGCTGTTTATAACGAAATATTGTTTTTGTCATGGAAGAGCTCGTATAGATATGATTTTAATATTAGGAAAATGTAAGAAAAACTCTTTTGGCAAGTCGAGTTTATGCACAACGTTATCCGGAACGACTTCATCCAGACAAAAGGAGCCTGCAGAACATATTGGATAGGTTTGTACGAACCGGGAAAAATGTAAAATAAACAAAACCAGTTAGAGATAGAACGGTTCGAAATGAAGAAAATCAATTGGCTGTACTGCGTTATCTGTTACGGAAAAATCCTTCGATTAGCCAGCAAGCAATCGCAGATGCCCTGGACGCCTGGACGTGAGCGAAAGAACTGTTCAACGAATTTTAAAAGACAACCGTTTCCATACCTATCATATTCAGTTTCATCAAGAACTCTTTCAACAAGATTTTGAAGAACGTGTCGAATTCTGCGACTGGGCGCAAGGTGAAATAGGAGTTAATTTCGACTTTTTTGATAAGGTTCCGTTTTCTTATAAGGCCACCTTCCATAAGGATGGATTTGTGAACCGTCACAACTTCCATTATTACTCCTATATCACAATCCAAGGGTTTTTTGGCAGATTGAAAGACAACAGAGATGGTCAATTAATGTGTGGGGAGGAATTATTGGTGAACATGATATTGGTCCCTACTGTTTCGACGGGAATTTGGATGGCCCTATGTATCTGGATTTTTTGCGAAACCAATTGCCAAACTTATGTGAAAATCTACCAATAGCTGTGAGGAATGCAATGTGGCTACAACATGATGGAGCCCCATCACATTATTCATTACAATAGGTCAAGGACGATCTCAACACAACCTTTCCAGATAGGTGGATCGGAAGAGGAGGACCAAGTGAGTGGCCGCCCCGATCACCTGACTTAACCAAATTGGATTTCTTTTTGTGGGTCTATGTTAAGGAAATCGTTCATCAAGAACCTCCTACCACACCAGATGATATGCAGCAAAGAATCCTTAACGCGTTTCAAACCATTACACCCGACCCTCGACCCGACCTATTACGAAGAGTGGCAAGGTCATTCCATAATCGTATTCGCTTGTGCCCCAAGAGAACAGAAGACATATCAAACATACATTTCGATATTTAGGTAATACCGAAGGTAATAATCCTATTTCTTTGTTTTTGAGAAATTTATTACTAGAACTACTGTGATTTTCTCTACTTTCATGATGTGTATAAGATTTAAAAGAATGTTGAATGTTGAACTTCTGAAATGCTGCATCAAGAAATAGTTTTCGGCAAATAACTTTTGATACGATGAGAATTTCGATAAGAAAAAAGTTTGTTTTTTATTTACGCATCGAATGTCATGAAAATATACAAGGGGCTCCAATTTGAAATGAGAAGAATAAAGTGCTTTGAAATTTGAAAAGTTTGCCACTAGATTTTGCACACCCTGTGATGATTCGTGTCAATCAGACTCGTTTAGCGTTCCTCTAAGGCTTTATTCGATATGTATCTCTTATGATTCCATTGACCAGGCAGTCTCTATTTAGTTATTGATGTTTTTGACCAGTGGTGCAAAGTTTAATTTTTTTCTTATATTTTATTTGCGTGACTATCACTGGACCGATTTCAATTAAATTCCAGGAGTATGTAGATAACCACTGGAAGCACTCAAATATGCAACAAAATATATGGCATGCTGTTTGAAAAAATATATCATTATGACGTCGTCACACTCTTTTGGGAGACCCTGTATAATCGAAATTTTTCTTCTGGTATGCGCCTTATGAGACGATTGATGTCTGCAAGACATCAAAATCCTGTCTCAACTGATAACTGAGCTATAGAAGACGGAAGGTGAGATGCAGGACCCTGTATGATTACCTAGAAGTGAGATGAGAAGATTGTTATAAGGGTAGCTCAATAATTGGCGCTGGGAGCAGTGTGGGAGTCACATTTTCTCACATCAAGTTATATATTCAAATTTATCATACCAATTAATTGTTCAAAATGGTCGCCATCAACATTCATACAATAATGATAATATCTCCATTAGAGACAACACATGCACTAATCGAATACATACCACCATAATTATTCATAAATAATAGGTACTTAGGTATTATTATATTCCAGTTCCTTGCACAGACTCCTAAAGATGTGAGGCAGTGGGTGACGCAAATAAATAAATGTCATGATCACGCCATAATGAAATTCAAAATGAAGGCGTTTGAGAAACAGTATTTGGCTTCAGAATATAACATACAATATGATGGAGTTAGCGACGACGAGGCAGACAGCATATACGAAGAACTGAAAACGTGAGTAGATAAGAGAATGTCAAGACACGATGACCTATCTGTTTTCAATTATTTCGCAGGGATCCAAAATCTGAAAAGTCTAATAAAACCCTAATAGTTAGTACTGATATATTCGCAATGAAACCCCCTTTGCCTGGAAGATCATCTACGAATGACAAATCAAATAAGAAAACTATAAAGGTTATTCATTCTCAACCTGTGGTAAAAACCTTACCGGTTCATGACTCTTCTGACGAAGATCTGGGCTCATATCATGAAATTGAAATGGAAAAGGATGTAAAAGATCAGTATTTGAGTAATACGACGAGAGGTTTCGGAGATTCCGAAGCCGATTCCTTTTCTGACGACAATGAAGATTCCATTTACGAGCAATTTTCAACTATTCAGGAAAAAGTTCGCGGCTTAGCAGTACGCTCCGTAAATGAAATATCATCAGAACCTAATAATGGACAATTATCATTTGGGATTTTCCCTGTACTCAGTAGCGGACCAAACAATACGAAGATCTCTACCTCAGATTTAAACCCACGGTCACAAACATCATCACCAACATCGAGCAGTCACGCTTTAAGAGAAAGACCTATCGATGGGTCGAACCGCATTATTACAGAGGTGGACATAATTTTCGAGGGATCGCCGAAAAGTATGGTAAATTCACTTTCTGAGGATAGTCAAGGATATACTCATCATCAATGCACTGTCCAAAAAACGGAGGGTCATGCGAAAGGTATAGGTAATGAAGGAATACCGGCATTACTTACCAAACCGAAATTGAAAAACAAACCGTCGATTAGCCTGAAGCCATCAATTTTACCAACATCTGTTACAGCTAGGAAGCATTGATCCATCCACCTTATTATTATTATTATCGAACGATTATATAAAAATTCATCATTGAATTTCAATCCATCGTTTATTACTGAGGCTACTGATATTCAAGATAAGAATGTTCGTCATACACATAATTATAATGCAGCCACATACTCAGAAAAATAAGAACCATTTACTGAATCTACATCACTATATATAGATATACATCAGGGTGGGGCCATTAATGAAAACTTATTCCACCCCTGAAATTTAGTTCTTCCTCGAATCGATGTTCGAGCGTTTTCTTCAAATTTCCATTTCAAATCAAAAAAATTGAGATGGAAAGTTTTCATTGTTTCCTATTTTATCAATGTCTAAAATGACAAACTGTGAAAGGCTAAATACACAACTATTTCGGCAACAGTGCCATCATTCAGGAGAGTTTTCTAAATATGAAAATAAGGATAACTATAAATTTTGCAGTTTACCATTAACATTAAAATATTATGAATACATTTGCAAATTTTCTGGAGTTTCCATTGGCCCACCCTTGTACGTCCCTCAATACCTATAGTTATATACGTCTGTTGCTCATATATAGTTCGACTCGCCAAAGAAGACCGGGGACGAAAGGGAGAGGATGAAGACGTTCAGACGACTGTGCTTTTAGTATATCTAAACAATTCGGTTTTGCAGATTACGTCGCCTTCATCATTTTCATCAAGTCACGAACGATATCACTGATTGCACGTTTGAACTGATTCAACCATTTCTAGCGAGCGCTCAGGAACCCGTATTTGAATTGACAGTGAGTTGATGATCGCAACAGTTATATTGTACTCTGGGCTAACATTCTCTCCTCCGGTCATCTTTTACGAGCAGGACTATGTTTTCATTGTTCCTTTCAAAACGTTGATTGCATCGCACCATATGAGGTGTTACAGGGATATACATAATATAGCTGCTATATATGCCACTGATTTACTGGATACAATATACCTACCTAATCCAACAAGAATATGAATCTGAGTCAATAAAGTATAAACTTGAAAAATATGAATAAAATTCTGATAATCCATTGACACACTCATTCAACCAGAACATTAAAATTAAAAATGTTTTTAGCGCTTGGTGCGCATGAAAGGGACTCCCTATATAATGTTCGGAGAACATCGAGGGTTCCTAGGGAGGATAAGGAAGGAAGATAGGGGTTGGAGGTTTTTCTTGAACTTTTGGAGATTATAAGTTCTTGGAAATACTTCCTCATGCAATGAATTCCATAGCTTAGCCGTTCTATAGAGGAATGAGTTTTGATAAAGTGCAGTTCGACATATTTCGAGATTGACAACGAAAAGATGTGCTGCCAGTCGTGGAATGATAGCAGAGATTTCTGAAGAACATTTCCCGTGAAAGTATCTATAGAAAAGTGAAAAGTCGCCGATCTTCCTACGGTGTTTCAGTGATGTCAAAGTGTTAGTGGCTCTTCTCTGGATGGAATCTAAGAGCATATCAGAGTATATTTGGGTGCTGAACCCCATTTGTGGAACAGTATACTAGAACAGGCCGTATATTTGTGCTTTGTAAATCATGAGAAGATGTCGAGGTGTGAAGTAGCTTTTACAAAATAAAAATCCGAGTTTTCGTGCATAAGCGGCTTTCGCGATGGATCTGACATGATTATTCTATGAAAGCTGAGTATTGCTGATGGAGACACAGAGCATAGATATAGTTGACTAAGTAGGAATGGTGGTACCAGACATTATTGTTATATCAGACATACTGAGTTCTGCCTTTCTAGAGAAAATACATCAGGCTTGAGTATTGGCGGCGTTGAATTCAACTACGTCGTTGGTTCCCCAGGGTGTGATTTTAGCATCAAGGTCTTCATTGACAACATTGACCTGCCTTCTTCGTGAGTTCTTAGTTTCCTGGAAAGAAATGGGAATTCTGGAAGAGAACGCAATATTGAGAGTACTATCATCTGAAAAACTATGTGGATAGGAATGTGGTTGCTCCCAACAGATCATTGATATGAAGTAGGAACAATGTTGTTGCCATAATTGATCCTTGAGGAACGCCGGAATCGATGACAATGGTATCAGACGATACACACAGTCCACCACCACGTGGAGTGATCTGCCTGTAAGAAAACTCGATAAGAGATGGCATAGCTGAGGTGGCAAGCCGTAGGGTCCCTTGATGGAAATTGACGTTAAAGTCATCTTAACAGGGTACGGACAGATCATAGCTGCATTCTTTTTTAATGATCTAGAGACTTTAGTTTTGTCTACTGGCATCCCTGACATTGCTGTCACGTCACATCCATGGGCGCTACAGATAATCATTCAAAATTTTAATAATAGGTATGTACAGGGTATTTACTTGTTGGGGAAGATCATAAATAGAAACGAGTTTTGTGATTATGATCCGATTCTATTCAAAACCGGAAAGTTTCTGGGGTTTTCCGGGGTTGGAGATAATGATTGTTTCGTCAAACTTGGAGAATTCCAGATGACGGATTCAATATATAGCGAAAGAAATTTCTAATCATGATCTGATTCTATTTAAGATTGGTATCTGAGGGTTTTCGTGGTCAAAGTTCATATTTTTTTGTCAAAATTAGAAAATTCAAGATAGCGGATTCAATATGGAGAACGAATTTTGTAATTATGGTCCGATTCTATCCGAAAATTGAAATTGGTATCTGAGGACTTCCGGGGTCGGAGATAATGATTGTTTCGTCAAAATTCGAAAATTCAAGATGACGGATCCAATATTGAAAGACATTAGTTTATATAAATATTATTCTACCACGAATAGAAAATATGTAGGATGCAAGAGTGAAAATAACGTGTGAATATAAGTTATACTGCATATACCTACTTCTTTGTTACTTTTATCAATAAATTATTCAAAAAAGGACTTTTTATTTGAGGAAGACGCAAAAATCATATGTATAACATGGGGGTGTAGTATATTCTATTCTTCATTTTCCTGCACATTCCACGTATTACTTTTTATCAGCCCACTTTCCGTCCCAGACGAAGTTTTATACATAGTGTGATATTAGTTACTCCATGAATTCTTCTCTGAATTGAATTCCCGAAAATATATTTAGCACACATGACATGAGTACAGTAGTTCAGATACCACATCGAGGTTTCCACCATTTCTCAATCATGAGGCTCACCTCATTCGGCTCATAGATAATCCTCTGCTCAGCTTGGAATCAGAATTCATTCAGTCAATTCAGTCAACCCTGGTATACAGTCTAAGAACAGTCTCTTTTGGTGAAATATATTAAGCTTTCAGTACAATTTATCTGTTCCCTACCTCGTAATAGTAAACTCTAAAACTAGAGGATTGTTATTCATCTATATCTTGGTATAGTTGAATCAGGATTTCTATATGGAAATTACGTATGATACGCCAGTGTCCTCAATATAACCTAAAAAACAATGAATGTCAAAAATCTAGTGTTTATCCCCAGAATTGAATAAGGATGGAACTATATAACTGTTTCACAAACACTTTAGAGTGAGAGGAGACGAGGATCTGTCCGTACCCTGTTAAGATGACTTTAACGTCAATTTCCATCAAGGGACCCTACTTTTTATTAGGGTCCCTTGATGGAAATTGACATTAAAGTCATCTTAACAGGGTACGGACAGATCATAGCTGCATTCTTTTTTAATGATCTAGAGATTTTAGTTTTGTCTACTGGCATCCCTGACATTGCTGTCACGTCACATCCATGGGCGCTACAGAAAATCATTCATAATTTCAATGATAGGTATGCACAGGGTATTTACTTGTTGAGGAAGATAAGGAAGATCATATGGCGAACGAGTTTTGTATTTATGATCCGATTCTATTCAAAATTGGAAGGTATGAGGAATTTTCCGGGGTTGGAGATGATGGAAAATTCAAGATGACGGATCCAAGGTATAGCAAAAGAAACTAATTATGATCTGATTCTATTTAAGATTGGTATCTGATGGTTTTCGGGGTCGAACTTCATGATTTTTTGTCAAAATTGGGAAATTCAAGATAGCGGATCCAATATGGCGAACGAAACTTGTAATTATGATCCGATTCTATTCAAAATATCAAAATTGGTATCTGGGGATTTCCGGGGTCGGAGATTATAATTATTCAGTCAAAATTGGGATATTCAAGATGACGGATCCAATATATGGTGGACGAGTTTTGTAATGAAGATCCGAGTCTATTCGAAATTGGTATCTGGGGGTTTTCGGGGTAGGAGATAAAATGATTGTTTCGTCAAAATTGGAAAATTCAAGATGACGGATCCAATATAGCGAAAGACATTAGTTTATATAATTATTACTCTAACACAAATAGAAAATTTGTAGGATGTAAGAGTGAAAATAACGTGCCTATAAGTTATACTGCCGCGTATACTTAGCGTATACCTACTTCTTTGTTACTTTCATCAATAAATTATTCGAAAATGACTTTTCATTTAAAAGAGACGGAAAAATCATATGTATAACATGGGGGTGAAGTATATTCTATTCTTTATTTTCCTGCACATTTTACGTATTAATTTTTATCAGCCTACTTTTCGTCCTAGACGAAGTTTTATACATAGTGTGATATTAGTAACTCCATAAATTCTCCTTGGAGTTGGATTTCTGAAAATATATTTAGCACACATGACATGAGTACAGTAGTCTAGATACCCACATCGCGGTTTCCACCATTTCTCAATCATAAAGGCTCAGCTCATTCAGCTCATAGATAAACTACTACTATGCTTGAAATCAGAATTCATTCAGTCAATTCAGTCAACCTTGGTATACAGTCTAAGAACAGTCTCTTTTGGTGAAATATATTAAGCTTTCAGTACAATTTATATGTTCCCTAAATCGCAAAGAGTATTCTGGAGTAGTAAACTCTAAAACTAAGAGGATTGTTCATCTATATCTTGGTATAGTTGAATCAGGAATTCCATATGGAAATTACGTATGATACGCCAGTGACCTCAATATAACCTAAAAAACAACGAATGTCAAAAATCTAGTGTTTATCCCCAGAATTGAATGAGGATGGAACTATATAACTGTTTCACAAACACTTTAGAGTGAGAGGAGACGAGGATCTGTCCGTACCCTGTTAAGATGACTTTAACGTCAATTTCCATCAAGGGACCCTAGCAAGCCGTATGATGATAGTTTGTGGAACCAGCAGTCCTTGGTGCCAAACACGGTCGAATGCTTTCGATATGTCTAAGGCCACCAGCTGGATATTCCCCATGTTTTTCTAATATTCTAATGGAGCTTGCCATATATGGGTGACGTAGGCAAGAAGATCTCCAGTTTATCTTCGGTGCCGAAAGCCATATATTGTCTATCATTCGATGATTCCTGAGCTTTTCAGATATTTAATAAGCTCAATATGTTGATTGATGGCTTATTTCTCCATTACTTTTGCGATACTGATAATAGGGCAATAGGCCTGTAGTTGTTGGGCAGGTTGTAAATAT